CCCCATTTTTTGGGATCCCTTTTTTTTTTTTTTTTTTTTTTTTTTTTTTAAAGATTTATTTTTTTTAATTTTTTTTTAAATTATTTTTATGTGTATGAGTGTATTGCCTGCATGTATGTGAGTGCACCCGTGTTGTGCAATGCCGAGGAGGTTAGAAGAGTTCCAGGATTCCCCTGGAACTGGAGTTAAGGATGGTTTGTAGCTGCCATGTGAGTGCTGGGAATCGAACCCGGGTCCTCTGCAAGAGCAGTCAGTGCTCTTAACTGCTGAGCCATCTCTCCAGCCCCATAATTTGTTGTTTGACTTCATTTATGCCCTTAGTCCTATCTGGGTTGAAATCCTGGCTCATCCCTAACAGCTTTGGGCCAGTTAACTGACCTCTTGATCCCTGGCTCCCCCCTCTTTAAGATGATAGCAGTGGTATGGTATGCTCAGTGAGCTTGGGGTATCCAAACCCTGTATATTCTAACGAAAGGACTAGGAGCTAGGTGAGGAGATTCATCCTATAATCACAGCACTCAGTAGGCTGAGGCAGGAGAATGGCCATCCTCAGATATACAGTAATTTTGTGGCTAGCCTGAGCTACAAGAGACCATGTTTCAAAAACAAAAACCTCAGAAAAAAACAAAACAAAATTGGCTGGAGAGATGGTTCCTAGGTTAAGAGAACTTGCTGTTCTTGTAAAAGACTGGGGTTCAGTTCCCAGTACCCACATGATGGCTCATAATTGCCTATAACACACACTTTCAGGGGATCCAGTGCCTTCTTCTGACCTCCCTGGGCTCCTGAATGCGTGTGGTGCATATAAATACACTCAGGCACACACATATAAAATAATAAAATTTTAAAACACACACACACACACACACAAATCATAACCATTAATTCAATCAATGCCCAGCACTGAGTCTTTAGCAAATTCCTGCCCTGATAGTGGTGCTGGGACTCCAACATGGGCACCTTTCCTTGATGACCATTGTGTTCATAAATAGGGTGACATCGAGCATGTAGTAAGTCCTCAGTTAATGATGAGTAGCACAATCTTCCTGATAATTTGATGAAAAGGGATGTTTTATGAAGAGGCTGAGGGGCCAGCTTGCCTGAGAGGGACCCAGCAGTTAAGGCTTGGACTAACAGCTGCTTCTTTTGCAGACCCCTGGGCTCTGTCCTCCACAACCCTGTAAGAGACCGTCCTTTGCCCCTTCCATTCTCAGGGGCCCACCTCCTCACCTTGGCCCGATCCTGGATGTCCTTTCTCCTAGCCCACATCACCACCAGCACATACACCACACAGAGGCAGCCCACCGTGGTCACGACCACAGTGTTGTCCTAGAAGGTGGCAAAGAGCTCGGCAGTCTGGTGGACATCGATGGCATTGGGTGTCACCAGGAATGTGCTTCCGGAGAAAGTGAGGTGGTTGCAGAGGCAGTGTGTCTGGGAGATGGTGGTCCGTGGTCCCACCTGTGAACCCCAAAGAGACCATGTGTGGGAATTGGTCTGCTTGAGCCTGGGAGAGGAAAATGATGTCTACTCCAGGGTAGACACTATACAGTCAGCCTTTTGGATTCACAGATTCAGTCAACCTTAGATTTTAAAAATGTATGTTTTAGGGCTAAGGATGTAGCTCAGTTGGTAGAGCACTTGCCTAGCATGCATGAAGTCCTGGGTTCAATCAGTCACCTAAACTGGACATGGCAGCACATATCTGTAATCCCAGTACTTGGAACATGGAGGATCAGGAGTTCAAGGTTCTCTCCTGATACACAGTCAATTCAAGCCCAGCCTGGGCTACATGAGACCCTATCTGTCTGTCTGTCTGTCTATCGTCTGTCTATCTATCTATCTATCTATCTATCTATCTATCTATCTATCTACCTACCTACCTACCTACCTGGAGATGGTTAGTGTTGTCAATTTGACAATCTAGAATCACCTGGGAGTCAAGCCTCGTGGCACACCTGTAACTAAAGCACTGAGATTACTGTTAGCCTGAATGTCCATGACGGATTGTCTTGATTACACTGATTGATTCGGGAAGACCCATCTTACTTGTTCCTGGGACCATTTCCTGGGCTGGGGATTTGGGTTGTATTAAATAACAAAAGTGAGCTGAGCACCAGCATACGTGCACATTGCTCTTTGCTTCTTCCTTTTTTTTAAAAGAGAGATTTTATTATTATTATTTATATTATTATTATTATTGTTATTATTATTATTATTATGATTGCTCTTTGCTTCTTCCTTTTTTTTTAAAGAGAGATTTTATTATTATTATTATTATTATTATTATTATTTATTGACAGAATCTCCCTATAGCCCCAGCTGGCCTGGAACTCACCATGTAAATCAAGCTGGCCTCAAACTCACAGAGATCGGCCTGTGGGCCTGTTGGCCAATCTGGAACTCCAGCCTCAGAAGGAGGAGACAGGATCCCCAGAGCAAGCTGGTTAGTTAGACTAGTCATATCAGTGAGCTCTGGGTTTGATTGAGAGACCCTGACTCAGTGAATAAGGTGAAGAGCAATAGATGATCCCCAATATCAACATTGGGCCTCCACATGCACATGCACACACACACATGCAAAAACTGCATGCACGCACATACACCACATACACAAATGGAAAAAGAAAAAAAATCATTGTAAAATTCAGAGACTATTATTTACTTTCCATTGTGCCAGAGTCTTTCCATAAGCTAGGCAAGAGCTCCACCCCAGAGCTATTATGTCCCTAGTCCATAAAATGTTCATTATTATTATTATTATTACTATTTGGTCTTTTAGAGACAGGGTCTCCCTGTAGTACCAGCTGGCCTGGAACTTGCTGTGTAGGCCTGTAACTCACAGAGATCCACCTGCCTCTGCCTCCCGAGTGCTGGGACTAAAGATATGCACCACGCCCCCCAGCTATTGTTATTTTTAAAAAAATTTTTATGTGTATGAATATATTGCCTGCATGTATAGAAGTGCACCCATGTCCTGTATTGCCCACAGAGCTCAGAGGAGGGTGTTGGGATTCCCTTGGAGCTTGAGTAACTGACAGTTGTCAGTCGCCATGTGGCTGTTGGGAATCAAACCCAGGTCTTCTGCAACAGCAACCAGTGCTCTTAACCACTGAGCCATCTCTGCAGTCCCAGAACATATCATTATTAATTTTTGGTATTTTTTGTTTTGTTTTAGAGAGATGGTCTCACAATGTAGCCCATGTTGGCCTTGAACTCAGCATCTTCAAATCACAGCCTCTCAAGTGCTGGGATTGCAGGCAAAGACCACCACGCCCAGCTATGAACATTATTTTTAAACAGTTTCATGTCCATCTTTCACCATGGACATTCCAAACATCTGGCCAACCAGCTTTGCCTGCTTCAGGGAGAGTTGCAGGTGAAGGTGAGTCCCTGTCACCCTCAGCCCTGAGGTGCTCATCACCACAAACATGGCCTAGAGCCCTCCCGTCCTCTCTTCACTTGTGGCTCATTCATGGACAGGCATACTGGATGCTGACTGTGCCTGGCAGTAAGCCATGCTGAGAACTGTCCAGTGGCCAACTCATCTCAGTTCTCCCAGGACTCCCGAGCCCCAGGAACTCCCTCAGTCTGGGATGGTTGGTCCCCTCATACTGAGGAGAAAGCACCAGTCTGGGGAAGCTTGGGGAGGAAAAGAAAAGACAAACACATCCTAGGCTGGGTCTCAGTGCCAGCAAGTGTTGGGGAACCCTGCTGTCCTTTTCTCAGCGGGCGCTTCCTGCTCTCTGCCTGACCTTATTTGGAAAATGCCTCCAAGCAATAAACTGCCCCCAGGTCTTTTCTATATGATAATTAGGCATTGCCCTATAGCCAGATGACAGGATCCCGCTACCACATGTAAATAAAGCATACTATGAGCACCTACCAGCTGAAGCTTTGGCTGCTGTCTCCACACTATATTTTCTCTGACCCCCACTGAATAAACGGAGCTGTATCACTGAATCTGACTCCCCGGAAAGTCTTTTCCGTCCTGCTCACTGGCCGTCCTGACCCCGTTTGCCGCTTCTGCTCCCTTTGTTCTCATGGATTGTGGCCAACGGCCCACGAGGGAAGGGAGAGACCCACAAGCAAGGCGTGGATGGGCTTGGCTGTGTGGTCCTTTGGATGGTCAGGGAGGCCAGGGCAGGCACCCTACCTGTAGCCTAGCTGTACTTCCTGCGTGGTTGAGGGAACCTGTCCGCAAAGCCTTGGTCAGCCCAGAATCCCATCCCAGGGCCATTTGGTGAGTAAAGCAGATTTAATTAAGCCCTAGAGCCCAGCTCCCCTTTCCTTCCAGAGTCTGGCCCCAGGTGGTGAGGACAGAAGGAGCACAAAAGACTGGCATCCGGAAAGCTCTCTCTGCTCAAGCACCTGGTGAGGAAGAGCCTCCTACAGCCCAGTTCTGACCCCACAGTTAACTCCCTCCTTCTGTTTAATGAGCCACCGGCCTGGCACACACCCGACACAAGCAAGAGACCAGCTGCTTACTAGGAATTACAGGTAGGTCTTCATTCTGAGTTTGCTCTGTTCTGTGTTTACTGTTCCCTAATCCTGGTCAGCATTAGGCATAGAGGGGTGGGTGTTAATGGGAATACTTGGTACACCCAGAAAGGGCAAGTCTGGTTTCAGAGGAGAGAACCAAGCAGGTGCTGGTGACACAGCCTCAGTCGGGAGCCAGGGACAGTGTCTGTTTACACCCAACATCTTTGCCTTCCAGGTTTCACAAAGACCTGGAGGTCAGAGGCTCTCCCAGCCTTTCCCAGCACCAGAGTGCTCTGCCACGGAGGTACCAGGCTGTGCTGCTGATGTACACCTCCAGCCTGGGAGAATATTTTTAATTTTAAATATCTTATGCATTTTTAATTTACTAAGTATTTTATATCTTTATTTTTAATATTTTATTATTTTTATTTTATGTGTATGAGTGTATTGCCTACTTGTATGTAAGTGCACCCATGTCATGCAATGCCCTTAGAGGTCAGCAGAGGGCATCAGATCTCCTGGAACTGGAGTTATGGACAGTTATTCACCCTGTGGGTGCTGGGAACTGAACTCAGGTCCTCTGCAAGAGCAGCCAGTGCTCTTAACCACTAAGTCATCTCTCCAGCCCCTATTTTATTATCCTTAAAATTATGCATTTATGTGTATGTCTGTGCAGATCTGTGCATGTGGGTGCAGTGCTGGAGTTACAGGCTGCTGTGAGTCACCTGACATGGGTGTTGAGAATCGAACTCAGGTCCTCTGGAAGAGCATTTCAGGTTCCTAACTGTGAGCTACCTCTTCAGCCCCCAATTTGATTTATTTTTATTGTGTGTAAGTGTTTTGCCTGCATGCAAGTGCACCCATGTGTGCAATACTGGCAGAGGCCAGAAGAGGGCATCAAATCCCCTGGACCTGGAGCTAAGGACAGGTGTTAGCCACCATGTGGGTGCTGGGAACCAAACCCGGGTTCTCTATAATAGAGAGCCATAATTCTGCCTTTACCCAGTAATAGTCCAGTGACTTGGAACTCCTTTTGGATTTTCACCCTTTGCTTATCTAACACTCCTCAGTGAGTTCCCTGAGGTGACCTCACATGCATACAGCTCCATCTATAATGGGCACCAGCTACTCAATTCTGAATTCATCACAACTTGGGGCTGTGCACATGTCCACACATGATCCTTGTATATCTTATGAGTGTTGGCTTTCTAGGTACATTAAATTTTTTTTAATTTTAATTTTAATTAATTAACTTGTGTGTATGGGGTGTGTGTGTGTGTGTGTGTGTGTGTGTGTGTGTGTGTGTCTGCTACAGCATGCGTGTGGAGGTCAGATCTCTCCTTCCTCCATGTGGAATGACTCAGGTCATTGAGTTTGGTGGCAAGGCCTTTACCATCTGAGTTATCTCACCAGCCCATGCATTTCTTAAAAATGTGTGTCAGGGCTGGAGGGGTGGTTCCGCGGTTAAGAGCACTTACTGCTCTTGCAGAGGACCCAGGTTCAGTTTCCAGCACCCACATGGTGGCTCACAACCATCTATAACTCCATTTTCAGGGTATTCGACACCCTCTTCTGACCTCTGCAGTTGCCAGTCATGCGTGTGGTACACGTACATTAATGCAGGCAAAGGCTGGCATGGTGACACATGCCTTTAATCCCAGCACTTGGGAGGCAGAGGTAGGTGGATCTCTGTGAGATCAAGGCCAGCCTGGTCTACATAGCAAGTTCTAGGCTAGCTATAGATACAGGGAGACTCTGTGTCAAAAAGAACCCCCCGAAAGAATTAGTTCAGGCAAAATGTTCATACACATGAAACCATTTTTTTAATGAATCTTTAAAAGTGTGTGCTTCCGAATGTGCAATGTGTGCATGTGTGTGGAGACCAGAGAGAAACCCCTGGTGTACCAGCCTTAGGAAGACTATCCACCTTTGAGACAAGGTCTCTCATTGTTTTCTTAGCTCACCAATTAGGCCAGCAAGCCCTAGGGATCCACCAGACTCTGCCTCCCCAGTGCTGGGGTTACAAGCACCACCCTGCCTGACACCTGTTCACAGGTTCTAGGTTCTGGGAATTGAACTCACATCCTTGTGCTTGCCAAGCAAGCACTTCACCAACTGAATCATCTCCCCAGCCCCAGCTACATATATTTGCTAGCATGACGAGCATCTGAGTACTCAGCACTGTACTCAAACAGGTTTAGCTAAGTGGTTCTCAGGCTCCCTTCTGGCCACCATCCTGAACCGTTGGTCTGGTCTCATTGATTTCTGTCTTAGAGACAGTGTTGTCTTCTCTACACTTAGACTGTTTAATACAGCAATCTCTCTGACCTATGGAGGGAGCCCTCACTGAGAGCCAAGCATTGTGCTGAGTCCTTTGCCCCCTCAACTCTACCCAACTATACACAGTAGCCATCCTCTAACTCCATTTTAGGATGGTAAAGCACAGAGAGGTGGAGCAATTTGCCCAAGATCACCCAGCTGAACCCAAGCCTATCTGATGAGAGTCCACATCTCCAGCCCTACACCATCCTGAGCCTCAAGACGCTGGGGGCATCGCATGCCAGCCACATGGAAATAAGGTGGCTTCAGGGAGTATGGGGAGCTCCAGGAGGGTACCACCCATTCATGCCCGTTTCTGAGGTATGGAGCCTTGTGCTTCAAGCATGGGGCACTTTCTGTCTCTTGGATATCTCTTTATACCACCTTCCTGCCTGCAACTGGGATATGGCAGCCAGAAGCCAGCATAGGAACTAGCAAGCTAAGACAGCCAGAGGGGCTCACCCTGACCCGAATGTCCTCCTTCCATGGCTGTGGTGGGGCATGGCTCTGGTGTGTGTCATTCTCTTCTGTTCAGGGTTCCCATTCACTAGTTTCCTCACTAATCCGCTCCCAGTCCTGGGACAAGGTGAACATTTGGTGAAATGAAAGAGCTGTGTCTGTGAATCAGATGGGTGAGGGATACATTTTGACCCCGTGTGAAGGCTGCTGATCTTGGTAGGGTATGAAAGGGTAGAGAAGTTCAACAGCAGAAGACTTGGGACAGCTGGAGGGTCTCCAAGAAGAGGGCACCAGTGTGGGAGACTATGGGGGAGCTATTGGAACTTTCCAGCAGGGTTAGGTACAAAGGCCATTTAGGGGAGAGGGCAGTCTATGCAGCTCATAAAGGGGCTGGGACAGTGGTATCCCAGAGTGCTCTGACAGCCTTAAAGCCAATGTCTGCAGGACACAGCCACAGGACACTGTCACAGGCCTCAGCTCCCTTGGGGCAGAGCTGAGATAGGAAGTCGAACACTGTGTTGCCATGATAATCTGGACACAGATAGGCCTGGCTTTGAATGGCAGCTCCTCCACTCACTGGGTGTAGAATTCAGAGCAGTCCATCAAGTTTCCCCAGCTTTGGTTTTATCGTCTGTGAAATGGAAATAACGACTCTCCCAGAAAGTGCGGATGAGATGATGTAGGTAAAGGTGGAGCACAGCACTTGGCAGAGAATAAAAGGCACAACTGAGGTCACTTTCTGGGAAGTGACACCCACTGTGGGCAGACTTCCGAATCACTCCTACGCTTATTTGATAATCATTTATTCCCAAAGTCCAGTGCTCTTGGTTCCTGAGGCTCCCAAGGGCATCACTAGGATGACCTCATGGGGAGGGGTCAGAGGACCCCACTGTTGAGCAGGGTGAAGGAGGAAGAGTGCCCACGGGGGTTTACAATAGGAAATCCAGCCTAGTCGGGTCATTTAGTTTTTTCAAGGAAGCAGGACTTAGTTGGGGGAAAGGGGGACAGTCAGCATAGGAATGGCCTGCAGAGAGCCCCGTGGAGGAACACAAGATGTTGCACCAGATGGGGACCCCACAGGAGCAGACACACTACCAAGACACCCAGCTTCTTTGCATCCTTACCTGGCACCCAGAGTTGTCCCAAGTCTCCCAGACTTCATCCCAGAACATACAATGTGACAGGAAGGTGGTGATGCCCACTCTAAGGTTCCACGTGGGTTGCGAGTCAGACTCAAGGACCACTGTCAAGTAGTAGATTCCTTTTCCAAAGGCCAGGTCCTCTGGGCCCAGGAGCCATGTGAGCAGCTCATCTGCAGGAAACGGGGACTCTGGTATCACTGAGACTAGGGAAGGGGGACCAATGTGACGTGGCAGGAAAGCAGACCCCAAAGGTCTGTCTATTGTCCTAGGAACAACCTTTTCTCATGAGAACACAAGCACATGAAGTACCCTTGATCAGTGTACAGTGCCATGACAGGACAGGAAGCACACAGGAGCTGATTCTTCCTCATGAGCTGTGTCATCTCAGACTGATTATTGAACTTCTCTGCCCGTGTGTGCGTGCGTGCGTGTGTGTGTGTGTGTGTGTGTGTGTGTCTTTTTGAGACAGGGTCTTCCCATAGCCCCACCTGTCCTTGAACTCACTATGTAGACCAGGCTGACCTTGAACTCACAGAGATCCGCCTGCCTCTGCCTCCAGAGTGCTGGGTGATTTTGTATTTTGGAAGAAGAGTCTCATGCAGCCCAGGCTGGCCTCAAGTTTGCTATGTAACCAAGACTGACCTTTGAACTCCTGATTCTCCTGCCTTAATCACCTAAGTGCTGGGACTGCCATTGTGCCTGGCTTGAACCTCTCTGCTTATATCTGGAAAGTGAAGATTTCTCTAGTCAGCTCCTAGAGGATTCTTTAGGGACCCGTCAGCATCTCTAGGACATGAACTAAATGTTCACCTGATGCGGGCAAAGCACATCAGCCCAAACAAGCGACTGAATATGGCAGTCATTTGTTCTCTGATTTTTCTCCTTTGTTTTTAGTTAAAGAATTTGTGTGCGCGTATACAAGTGTGCTTGCATGTATGTGCACACATGTGTATGTGTGCACATGCACACGTGTGTGGAGGCTGAAAGTAGACACTGAGTATCTTCCTTAATTTCTGCTCCACATTATTTTACTTATTTATAAAATATTTATTTTTATTAATTATGTGTATATGTGTGTCTGTCTGTATGTATACGTGCATGTAAGTGGTCAGAGGCTTTGGATCCCATGGAGATAGTTACAAGTGGTTGTGAGCTGCCCAGTATAGGTGCTGGGAACTGAACCCAGGTCCTCTGCAAGAGCCGCCTCTCCGGCCCCATATTTATTTTTGAGGCATGGTCTCTCACTGAACCTGAGGATTCACAAATTCACTAGGCTTGTGGCCAGGGAGCCCCAGGGTTCGTTCTGTCTCTCTCCCCTGACCCCAGAGCTGGGATCGTAAGCATAAGCGTCCATAGCTGGAGTTTATGTAGGTTCTAGGGATGAGCTCAGATCCTCATGCTTGTTCAGCAGTTTACTGACTCGAGTCCTCTCCCTAGCCTTGTTCTTTGCTTTTTCTTTGGTACCTCAAGTTTGAAGCTGGCCACACCAGAAAGCACCTCAGGAAACAAGGCTGACTTACCTGCAGCAGCCATGGGTGGCAGGTGTGTTTGGGAGTCGTAGCTGGTCTCATTGGGGCAGTAGCCATAGCCCAGGCTGAGTGTAAGTGGAACTCTAGGTCCCCAGTACAGCTGGATCCACAGAGCCACATCGTCTGCGCCTCCTTGGGTGGCCAGGTTCAGCACGGTCGGCTTGCGGTATTCTCCCGAAATCCGAGGCAGCAGGATCTGCAGTCAGAAACAAGGAAATGAAGGAAATGCCAGCCAGGCAGCATGCAGGGCAGGTCTCTGCGAGCTGGAATCCAGCAGTGCTGCAGGGGTGAGAACCTGCTGCAGGTTCTAGGGGAGGATCTGTTCTGCCCTTCTACAGGCCACTGTGGTCCTTGGTTCCTGGTCCCTTCCTCACATCACCCCAACCTCTCCCTGTGTCATCAAACCTCCCTTTCCTGCCTGTGGCTCCATTGTGGCTCCTGGGTAATCCAGGTCAACTGCCCATCTCCAAGGTCCTTAACTCTACCTCATCTGCCAAATCCCTGGCAGTATATTCACAGGCCCCAGGATGAGGACGCAGGCATCACTGCAGACTGCTAGTGAATCAGTCAATGACAGAAAACTATACAGCTAGAGAAAAAATCAGTAAGATCTTAAAAGAAGCTAAGTTCCTCTGTACTGCTGTGAAGAAGACATAGCAGGACATTTCAGAGGCTACATTATGGGCCCCTAAAAGGAACATTTGGTTTGTGCAATGAAGATGAAAAGAACTCCAACAGATCCATACACCCAGGAAGACTTGTCTATACCCAAAGACGAGTGAATGCACATACACGAATGGTTTCAAGTTAAATACAGTGCTTAGTATACGGTAGGCATTCTAGTTTATTTCTCCATTGCTGTGACAAAACACTGACCAATACCAACTCGGAGAGGAAAGGGTTTATTTGGCTTATATCTCCCGGGTCATAGTTCATCATAAGTGAGCCCAAGCCAGGAACTCAGGGCAGGAACCCAGATTCAGGAGCTGGAGCACAGGCCATGGAGGAATGGCACTTACTGGCTTGCTCCCCTGGCCCCTGCTCAACCTGCTTTCTTATACAACATAGGCCCACCTTCCCAGGGGTGGCACCACCCACAGTGGCCTGGGTCTTCCCACATCACTCAATAATCAAAAAGATGCCCCACAGACATGGCCACAGGCCAGCTAAATGGAGGCAGTTCACTAATTGAGGCTCCCTCTACCCAGGTGTGTCAAGTTGACAACTGAAGCTCTCCAGCACAGTAGCAATCACTTTGTGTAAGTTCCATCTTTAACTTTGGTTTTCACAACCAGTCAACTTTTGATCCCAAGTTGAGGAGGCCAAGAGATGTCTGGCTTCTGACAACACCCAGCATTACCTCAATATTCTGTGACAGGCTCTTCACTGGAATGAGCTGCCCACTGGAGCTGGTCAGTCGGAGGCTACCAACAGTTCCGCTGACATCAAAGGGGCTTTGGGAAGGGAAGGGGCTCGTTGGGAAACATCACCTGGAAATCAAGGGCAAGGAGCATTGTCTGAGGGGTGGGAGGTAAGCAGTGAGGTCCGGAGGTAGATGAGCAGCAGCCCTGGCTCTGGGAGGTGGATAGGGCCCTGCCTTTGGCTGATGGCAGTTTCTACAGATGTAGCCTCAGGGGGGTTGACCCTGGAGAACTCACTTCAGACTTGCTTTAACTGAGCATTTACTGGAAGGTAAAACTGCCAAGTCTTTCTTCCCCCAAAGTCAAAGCATTCACATCTTCACAGTTTTGATTTCGTATCTGTGGGTTCAGCTAAGGTGGACCAAAAATATTTTTTTTAAAAATGTGTGTCTGTACTGAACAGGTACACAGTTTTTTCTTGCCATTGCTCCTAAATAGCACATTATAACTATTTATGCAGCACATTGTGTTGAGTATTACAAGCAATTCTGACATGATTTTAAAAGTATATGGGAAGATGTAGTTTGGGTATAATGGTGCACACCTTTAATTCCAGCACTTGGGAGGCAGAGGCAGGTGGATCTCTGTGAGTTCCAGGCCATCCTGGTCTGCATAGAGAGTTCCGGCCAGGGCTACATAGTGAGACCTTGTCAAATAAATAAATAAATAAATAAATAAAAGTATATGTGAAGATGTGTACAGGTAATATGTAAGCACTACGCCATCTTATATAAAAGACTGAGTGGCCAGGTATTTTGATGCTTACAATGACAGGGCCAATCCCATGGCCACTAGGAGTGGCTGTGTCTAGGAGGAAGATGCTAGTCTACTTTCCTCAGAAATTTGGGAATCAGAGGTGCTTTAGTCTGGGCTGGAAAGGGCCCTGGGCTTGTCAGGTCCTTGTTACAGGCTGAAGCCTGCAGAGCTTAAGTTACTAACAACTCATGCAGACAAGGCTGCTGGAGGAACCTTGCAACCTAGTGGAAAAAGAATAGATTTGGGTGCTCAGAGCTGTGGAGTCTGAGTCCCACTTGGGCCACAGGTTGTGGCTCTGACAAGACATTGAACCTCATCTGTAAAGGACGGGGATGCTGTCAACATCAATGCACAAATACAAGTGCCTGTGCTTTGCACACTGTAAAGGTTGTCCCCAAGGAGTGCCACTGTTACCCTTATGTCCACAGGCTCCCGGCTCTCCTGGCAGAGGGAGGTGGTGGCAGGCAGAGTGAAGATTGCAGAGTTAGCCGTGGCAGTGTGCATGGAAGTTCCTTGCCAACTCCGTGGTTGTATTCTGGCCATGGGTGAGCAGGGAGAGAGGAGAAAGTCAGTGTTTGAGGAAGAAGCCCACTGTATACCGGGGAGCCGCCGCTTTACCATCAGAGCACCCCCATATTTTGAAGCCTTTAGTGGCTTCTGGGTTTCAACCAGCAGCAGAGCAGCAGCAGCTGGTGTGTCCGTGTGGATTGGAGGTCCATGAAAACAAGCTGTTCCAGAGTTGCTCCCCATGAGCCCCATGCCTGGAACGCTTTCCACGCTTAATAGGTAGCTGGCAAAACTTTCATTGGACTTATAAAGAAGCTTGGGTGTAGATACCTCTCTAAGTTCCCCCCACCAGCCTTCACTTATGATGTCATGGGTTCCAGCCTCTAGTTTTCTGGTCATTGACCTTGTCCCATCTGATGAGACTGTGTTCAGATCCTGCTCTGATCTGGATAGGATACTGCTCAGGAAATCTGCCACCGGGACCCAAGGGAGCAGCCCTGGTCTGAGGAACTGAGGACAAGCTTGCTGGGGAGGCATCTTCCTGCCCTATTGGTGAAGGGGTGGAATGAAGGGACGAAGGTGTGTGTGGCTGTTTCCTCCAGGTTGGACCTCACTATTGCTGTCTGGTGTCACTCAAATAAGCCCCCACCACCAAGATTGAGCCCACTGACATTATCCTATGGAAGGCAAGAAAACTCACGAGGTTTCTGAGCTCAGGGGCACATAAGACCCCTCCCCCTGAAAGGGTATATAGTTAATATTGCTGGGAAGGGTTTTTTTTTTTTCCAGTGGGGTATCCACCCATAAGTTGTCCATGCTCCCATATGTAACCCCAATAAGCTCATCAGTTCACCAAGCTAGCCTTAGGTGGAATTATTTATTCAGTCTGCCCTTGCCTTCTCTATCCGGGGTGAATTAAAATAAACTCTCCAGGCCAGGCATGGTGGCACATGCCTGCAATCTCAGCATTCAGGAGGCAGGGACAGGATGACTACTACAGGTCTGAGGCCAGCCTGATCTACATAGATAGGTCTAGGCCAGCTAGGGCTACAGAGCAAGACCCTGTCTCAATAGATAGAAGATAGATAGATGATAGATAGATGATAGATAGATAGATAGATGATAGATAGATAGATAGATGATAGATGATTGATAGATAGATGATAGATAGATGATAGATAGATAGAGAGATAGATAAATAGATAGATGATTGATAGATAGATGATAGATCATAGATAGATAGATAGATAGATAGATAGATAGATAGATAGATAGATAGATAGATAGATAGATAGATAGATAGATAGATAGATAGATAGATAGATAGATAGATAGATAGATAGATAGATAGATAGATAGATAGATAGATAGATAGATAGATAGATAGATAGATAGATAGATAGATAGATAGATAGATAGATAGATAGATAGATAGATAGATAGATAGATAGATAGATAGATAGATAGATAGATAGATAGATAGATAGATAGATAGATAGATGATAGATAGATAGATAGATAGATAGATAGATAGATAGATAGATAGATAGATAAATTTCCCAGGAAAAGATACATACCAAAAAATATCCCTAAGCACTGGTCAGTGTTCACTGAGACAAAGTCTCCTGGGAAATCTCCCAGGTGATTGTGTCCAGGATCCCCACAGGCCTATGAGCAATGGGAGAGCCAGGCCCACCCAGGACATAGTGGGGAGCATGTGTGTATGAGGGGTTGGTCCCATTCATCTGCCCCTTTGTCTGCATGGCTCCACTGGGACCACCTGGACTTAGCCCTCCACAGCTCCCTTCCTGTCCCAAGAAAACTCGCCATGGCCCAGGTGATTTTATGTATTACTGAAACCATCTATAAGAGTCTGCATGATTGTGTCACCATGTGTGAAGATGTGTGAATGTAAATGTGTGTCTGTATGTGTGTGCCTGAGGCTGTGAAGGTATGTATGTTTTGAGGCTCCTCTTGGTGGAGAGCACCTCCCCCCACATACCCCAAGTCTGGGTCCCAACACTCCTCCAGGTCCAGGCTGGCCTGCTGGGTCATGCCAGCTGCGAACTTGAGATGCGGGCATGGCATGAACAATATTAGGGCATCAGCTTTCTTGGGCATGCGCAGAACAGCTGAGTACCTGTTTGTGTACACAGAGATGGAGGGGCCGGCCAGGGTGGCTGGGAGGTTCCCAGGTAATGTCCCCAGCAGGAGGGCAGTCTGCACACGGTCCACAACCCGGAGGAGCTGGGCCGTAATGTGAGCCTAGAGAGGGAAACAGAATACATGCCACTGTGGATGGTCATCATAGGCCCCTGTGCTGTCACTGGGACTCTCAGCAGAGACCAGGAGAGGACGGGGGAGTCATGGGCAAAGAAGTCCCACTGATGCCGGGTAAGGCAAAGATCCCAAACATTTGCTTCACTCGTGTGGACTCTTCCATCCTCACAGCAGCCTGTGAGGTAGGTGCTTCCCTCTCCTTGACAGAAGGGGAAAGGCAGGCACAGAAAGAAGAGGAGAAATTGCACTTTGATAAGGACATGAGGCAAGCTCACAGGAAATCTGGCTCCAGGGTCCATGTGAGAAGCTGTGCGGCTCTGTGCCCAAGGCCTTTCACCTAGGCATTCATTCTGCTTGGTTCCCCCATCCAAACCCCCAGATAAGACACATCTGGTGGCCACTGAGATGGCTCAGTGGGTAAAGGTGCTTGTCACCAAGCTTGAAGACCTGAGTTCCATGCCCAGACCCACACAGTAGGAGAGAACTGACTCCCATGGGATGTCCTCTGACCTCCACATGCATGCTTAAAAAAGATGCATCTTGATGATAACATGGCTGGGGTGAGGACTCAGGAGAGGACCTGGTCAGTACACTGTATTTGTACATGTGTGTTTGTGTCTACATGTCCATGACTGTATATGAGACTGTGACTGTATGTATGTATAAGTGCTTGAGTGTATACATGCAGTGTATGAAACTATGTGAGTATGTATGAGTGGATTTGGGTGTTGTTCTGAGGAGGTGTGTGTGTGTTTGAGTGTGTATGAGTGTGTACAGGCGATTTTATGTATTACTGAAACCATCTGTGAGAGTCTGTTTGTGTCACCACATGTGAAGATGTATGAAAGTAAATGTGTGTTTGTGTATGAGTGTGTGCTTGAGGCTATGAAGGTATGTGTGTTTGGGGGCTTCTGAGTCTGTGCATGACTGTATGCCTGTGTGCCTGTATGTGTATAAATGTAAGGGTTTGTGCATGTTTTGAGAGTGTGAGGGTGAGCATGGGTCTATGTTTAGTGTCTGAACACGTGACCACATGTGAGCATGTGACTGCACCTTTGTACATGTCTGTCCTCCAGGTCTTCCTGAATAGGAAAGATGGGGTAGGAGACGGTGAAGCAGCTGTCACTAGGTTTTGTGGCTGTGCCCTGATGCTATCCTGAGAGGAAGCCCTTTCTCAGCTCATCAGGGACTCTGGGGGCCACACGAGTCCTTTCTGTTCTTGCTCTGGGGTGGCTGATTCCTAAAGGCATCCTGTGCTCTTGGTTAAATAAACCAGGAATTGATTCAGATTTTCAGTGTGGTACATACAGCATTCCAAGTGGACAGTTGATCTGGGGTGAGGCAGTGTGCCTCCAGGTACAGAAGATGAAGGTTTAGGGAATGGGGAACTTGCCCAAGTCACAGGCTCCCACCCTGCTCTGCATGCTGTCACACACTCTGCTCTCTGGAGCCTTCCTCCCAGCCCTGATAAGTACCATCATCTTGCCTCCATTCCCCCACTTTAAAGGGAGCAGGATCTGCCTATTGATGCTGGTGTGAGCTGGCGTGTGGTGGGTGTGATGTCTGCATCTGGTCTGGGACACCCACCTGGCTGCTGTTGGCCTCCACAGGCTCTTCTGGTCCATGACTGAGGGAAGCTTCCAGCAGACTGCCCACCGCCTGAAACAGGTCTCTGGTAGCTGCCTGGCACCTCTGGTCCTTGGGATGGGCCTTGGCCCTGGCCATCAAAAGGGCTTCACTGGCAAGCTGCAGAGCCTGACCGGCCTCCCGCTGGCTCGCCCAAAGAAAGAAAAGTGGTGTAAGTCCCTTCCTGGGTGGATCGTCCTCCATGTCACTCAGGGATAAAGGATGCCCTGGAGGGAAGCAGGGCAAGGCCCAAGCCAGGGAAGACCTGGGCCAAGGCCGGCACAAAAGCAGCCTGACTTGAAACCAGGGCCACCCTCCCTACCAGGCGTTAAGTTCTTCCAGGAGAGCGGCCTGGACTGCCTCTGAATTCTTCCCAGAGTGCCTTGCATAATGGCCTACACATATGAGGCATTTGGTAACATTCATTTGCTGCCTAGGGGAATGGAGGATAGATGCATAGAGAATGGATGAAGAATGGATTGAGGATGGATGGATAGATGGAGGATGGATGGATGACTAGAGGATGGATAGAGGATAGATGGAGGATAGCTGGAGGATGGAGGATGGATGGATGGATAGATAGATAGGGAATGGATGGATGGTGGATGAATGAATATAACACTTATTACAATTTCATAATTATATATGTGTTTGTGAAATTATTTGTTTAATGTCTGGATGCTTCAGTAGCTTGAAAGTACCATGAGGGCAGGGTCCACATGCGAACGAATTCGGTACCTGGCACATTGGCATTCAGGGAGCATTTGTAGCATGAGTAAACAAATTCAGGGAGTGATGGATGCACAGAGGGACAAGTGCATGTGGATGTGCACAAAACAGATGGATGAACAAATGGGGGGTGTGAATTGGAAGTGTCACATCAACAGCACATGGCCCCTGGAATAGTTCCAGCCCCGATGGCTTCAGGCTGGGCGATCTGTGGGGACAGCCCTCTGCCAAGCAACCAGGGCAGCGTCAGGGCACTTTTCCCTCGCAATCACTTTATAAGTCTCCAGGAAGTTGCTCCTGAGGCAAGAGTTTGAGAGCAAGTCATTGATTTGAAGGTGATCCCAGAGAATAATCAAGAGGAATGGAGACGCAAGGCCCAGGAGAGTCAGAAGTCAGTGCAGGAGGTGGGGTGAAGCCTGTTACCTGTTATCAAGCTGCGTCCTGCTCAGGAGTTATGCACCAAAACTGGCAAGGAGCTGGAGTATCTGTGCCCAAGCCCCATCAGTCACTGAGCACTGTGTGAATGCCCTGCCATGTGAGCTGGTGAAGGGGCTCTGGAGGTCAGGGAGGACCCCAGGCTAGAAAGGCAGGAGCTGGCAGCTGTATGTCAGGATGGCATGCACTGAGCTGGGGGTAGTGGTGGGTCAGCAGCAACATCTGAACACACTCTTGGAACCCCAAACCGAACGGGATCCAGGTCTCCCTCTGGTTGCCCACCAGTGGGGGCAGTAAGCAGCAAGGGCCGTCAAACCCTGTGTGAGACTCGGGGGTCTGTTGAGGAGCACCTTTCCCTGTGCCACTCACGCAGGACCCTTGGAAAGAAGATGGCTGAAGTCCTTCAGCCCTCATCTGAGGGACAGCCCCATCACTGAGGGATTCTTTGGCCTCTGCCTTGAGGAGTTGCCACACACACACCATGGAGGTGCGTGTGCCATGGCTGGATCAGCCAGTGGAAGTTCTCACCTGGGCCACAGGTGTGAGTTCCTCACTGCGGTGAGTCACCTCTCTGAGCACCTCAGCCAAACGCTGCACCCCCTGCATGTCCCCGAGACCAGCAGTGATCATGGACAGGGATCTCAAGTTCTCTGACCTTGGCACAGGGAGAGAGAGGTCAGGAGCAGAACTGTTCTTCCAGAGGCTCTGTAAGGCATTCCATGGAGTGCTAGGCTCCCAAGAGTGACTGGGCTCATCTGGGCTTTCCAAAGCTCTGTGCAGCAGGCAGGATAACGGCCTCCCAAAGATGCCCACATCTTAATCCTTGAAACCTGTCATCATGTTACCTCACAGAGAAAAAAGTGCTTTGGCAAAGTCACTTTGAAGATGTGATTCAGTTCAGCATCTTCAGACGGGAAGTTTTTTTGGGGGGGGCATTTTGCACATGGGACCAATGTAATCACCAGGGTCTTCATAAAAGAGCGGCCAGAGGGTGGAGGAGATAGATGATAGAGGCAAGCGATGGGCAGAGGATATAGGGAGAGGAAAGGGCTTCAAAAATGGAGTAAGGGTGATGGCTTTAGTAAAGTGTTTGACATGCACACACGAAGACCTAAGTTCAATCCCCTAGAACCTACATTTTTAAAAAAAGTTGGGAAGCTCAGGATGGTGGCACACACATGTAATCCCAGTGCTAGGGAGACCAAGGTAGGTGGATCTCTGAGTTGGGGGCCAGCCTGGGATACACAGACCCTGTCGGAACAAAGAAGCCAGGCATACTTGCAATCTCATTGTTGGGAAGACAGAGACAGCACACCCCTGGCGCTCCCTGGTCAGCCAGCTTAGCTTACTTGGTGAATCCCAGACCAATGAGAGACCCTGTCTCTAAAATCAAGGTGGACTGCACCTGAGGGACAACAGCTGAAGCTTACCTCAGCCTAACTACCTACACACACACACACGCACACACACACACACACACGCACACACACGCACACACGCGCACACGCGCACACACGCACGCACGCACGCACGCACGCACACACACACACACACACACACGCAAGAGGCGTAAGGAGCCAGGAGCCAAGGGTTGCAGATGGCCTCTAGAAGCTAGAAGAGGTGAGAAGTGGATTCTCCCGTGCAGCCTCCAGAAGGTTCTCAGCCCTGCCTAGGCATGCTTGACCTAGACCAAATCACTTTCATCCTCTGGGCCTCTGTTTTGTCATCTTTAGTGTGAAGGGGCTGGAGTGATGCTATCTAAATTCCTTTCTGGTTCCAAAAGGCTGTGACTCCATAATGGTGGGCAGAGAAAGCAGGTTATTGACACGTTTTGTCACTCATCGGAAGGACCAGAGGAGGAGGTGACAGTGACCTGTGGGAAACACCGGGGCTTCTCCTCTAATCCATGAACCCTGCCCCCGAGCCAAGCAGCTTCACACAGACCCTGAAGGATGGGCTTCTAGTACCTTCCACCTGATGTCCAGTCTAAGTTGCCCAGAGCCCCAGCCCTGGCCCTCCTGGTCCTCCTGGTCCTCCTGATTTAGTTAGAGGACACAGCCTTGGCAAGCAGGAGAAGCTGCTCAGGGCTATGCTTGATTTGCAGAGCTGCAGTGATTCTCTGCAATACAATAGCCTGGAACGTCACATCTTCAACACCTGTGTTACCATGTCCCACCTGACAGGGAAACCAGAGACGGGCTCAGTGGTCTTTGTTTGTCACCTTAGGTCATTCCCTTGACCCTGTCTATACCGAAAGAGGACATTCCATCCATCTGTGATCAATTTCCTACCTGGCTGACAGGCCAAGTTGCTTTACACTTTCTCCTTGACTCCTACAGGAGGCTAAGCCATCTCCCTGGGGACTCTCCTCCCTTAAAGCCGTGTTCAAATGCAAGCTGTGATCATGCCCCTCCGGTTCAGAGACCCTGGGTACCTTTCCCTATAGACTCTCACAGAACCTGCAAGGCCCTACCTCAGCAGCTCCTCCTCTATAGCAGAGGAACCGGACACTTTCCAGATTCTTCTCTGTTCTTTCACTTTGCAGTCTCTGTTCCCTGCTCGGCATTCCTTTCTCTAGAGCATTAGTTCTTCCTCCTCCCTTCCCCCTCCTCCCCAAGGTCTCTGCTGAACTTAGCTCCTGTGGGAAAGTCCTCTCTACTGCTGGCCGGGGGAAATCGTCCTAGACCCATCCTCTCCTTTCCTTTGAGACAGTCCAGGGCTCATCCTCCAGGTAACATCTCTTATGGGAAAACAGATACAACCAGACTGCCCACTCTGCAAGCCCCACACCTAAATCAAGAGCAGTCTGAGCTGGCTTTTGGTAAATGTTGGCTGTCAAATGAGCGGCAATCCTTGGAGAACATGCCCATGGGCCCACCTAACTTGAGGCCTGAGGTCCAGGGGAGCAAACATGTAGAGGCACTGCTCCATCTCCTTCTCCAGTTCCTGGCCCCTCAGGACAGTCAAGCGCAGGGTGACGGCAGAGTCCGGTGGTGGCAGACAGGATGGCGGTACCACTAGCACCCTCTGGTCTGTGTGGAGCTGTTGTCTCTCAACACAGTATTCCACTGAGCCCTGAGAGAGATGGGCAGACATGCACAGCCACCCTGAACCTGGCTTGTAGGGAACTTTCTGACTTAATAGGGCATTTCGTTGGTGGTGGTTTTGTTTTTGTTAAGACAGGTCTGGTTACACAGCCCAGGTATGGTGGTTTGAATGAGAATGTCCCCCATAGGCTCCAAGTATTTGGACATTTTGTCCCCAGTTGGTGGCACTGTTTCAGGAAGTCTTAGAAGGTGTGGCTGTGCTGTAGGAACCATGTCACAGGGGGTGGGCTTAGAGAGTTCTTAAGCCTTGTGGGGTTTCCAGTCACCCCCTGTGTCCTGTGCCTGCTTGAAGATGTGAGTGCTTTGCTTTCTCCTCTGGCCACCTCCACCATGCCTCCCAGCCACGGTGGACTCTAATCCCTCTAGAACCATAAGCTAAATAAACTCTTCCTGCCATAAGTTGCCTTGGTCAGTATTTCTATCACAGCAACAGAAGAGTGACTGAAAATATACCAGGCTAGCCTGAAACTCATGATTCCCCTGCCTCTGCCTCCTGATTACCAGGGTTACATGTGTACCACTGTGCCCAGCCTCTAGTTATTCCATTTTCTTTTTCTTTTTGACATTTTGTGTACCCATGTGCACATATGTCATGACATGTGTGCGAAGTCACAGGACAACTTTCCGAGGTCAGTTTTCTCCTTCCACCATGTGGGTTCTGGGACCTGAACCCAGGTTGTCAGGCTTGGTGGCAAGCACCTTTACTTGCTGAGACATCTCACTGGCCCCAGTTATTCCATTTTCAGTTTTGAAAGTAGCCACAAAGGCTAGCACAGACTGGTAGTGTTGTTTATAAGAGCAAACAACTGGAAAACCCTAAATGTCAAAAATGACAAGTGATTTGACAGTCTGCAGCTATTATGAAAATCCAGGTGGCCAGGAAGATACTATGACATTGAAACATGGGGAGGGGTCATTTCTTCATTATTATTATTATTATTTTGGCTCTTCAAGACAGGGTTGCATATAGTCCAGGCCTTGGACTCCATATACAGCTGAGGATGACCCTAAATATCTGATCCTCCTGCTTCTACCTCCCAAGTGCTAGGATTACTGGCATGTGTCACTGTGCCCAGTTCAGAACTTACCACTTAGTGATCAGCAACAACATAAGGATGATAGAGGAAGCATGCACAATATTTATTTCTAAAAGAATGTGTAGGTATCTAGGGCATGCCCTATTAAAAAAGTGGACACCTACTTCTAACAGCACATGCTACCATCGTGGTTTGTGGATAGGTGCCTGACCTACACCCCTTCTAGACTGTCCCCAGTGATATATGATGTGTGTGTATGGTCTGTGTGTGGTGTGTGGTATGTGTGGTGTGGTGTGTGTGTGTGTGTGTGTGGTGTGGTGTGTGTGTGTGTGGTGTGTGTGTGGTATGTGTCTGTGGTATGTATAGTGATACATGTGGGGGGTGGTAGCATGTGTGGTGTGTGTGTGGTTTGTTTATGTGTATTAGCGATATGTGTGGTGTGTATATGTGTTTAGTGATATGTGTGTGTGGTGTGGGTGGGTAGGTATATGTGATGTGTTTGGGTATATTATGTGGTGTGTATGTGTATGTGGTGTGTGTATGGTGTGTGGGTGTGATGTGTGTCTTCAGTGTGTGTATGTGGTACATGTGGGGGTGGTAGTGTGCATGGTGTGTGTGGTATGTATGGTATGTGATTTGTGTGTGTGATGTGTGTGGTATGTGATTTGTATGTGGGGTATGTGTATGGTATGGTATGTGATTTGTGTGTGTGGTGGTGTTGTCTGTGGGTGTGTGCGTGAGTATGTGTTGGGAGGGATCCTCCCAGAGGAAGGAGCATTTCATCACTGATCTTGTTTGGAATCTCCAGCTCCTGGTGCCAACACAGAAAGCAGACTGGCTCTTAGTGTTCTGTTGTAGCTTCCAATCTGTCCATCCCTGGTCACCTGCACTTGGGGCCACAGTCCTTCCTGGGTTTGCCGTTGCCTCTCCACCCCCATTTCATGGAATTACACTCTGGCCCACACAGCTTACACGGTATCAGTCATGCAGTGTAAAGATTAAGAGAAAGAACAGGACACAGTATTATTCACTCCTTAGGGAAGACAGTCCAGGAGCTCAGACACCACCTACCACAGGACCAGCAGAAGCCTAAATGTGGGTCATCTTCTGGCCAGCCCAGCGTAACTTCTGCGAAGGGGTCCATGTACAGGCCAGGCTCAGTGAACACCGCCATGTCCCCTTTGACTTCCTGCAGAGGAAGTGACCACTGGTGAGATGCACCTTCACATTCTCACTGTGGAGTGCTGCCGCCAGCTCCTCTCTACCCCAGAGCACTGTGTGTGCCCACAGTGGCCACAGGATAGGCAGAGCAGAGATGGGCCTGGTTGGCCCACCTGGCTGCCTTTGGGGTCATGGAGTGCCCTTTCTGGGACTTTATCCTTAGGCTTAGGGGTCGGTGTGCCATCCACTGCATGGACAGAGGCCACTCTGAGCCAGGCCTTGTGTCAATGGCTGGTTACGGAGACCTGGCCATTGCCCTGAAGATAGGCAGGAAAGGCAGGGGACATTAACTGACACTTAAAACTCAGAGCTTGTTTGCAGGGAATCAATTCAAGGTATCAGGAGACTATGGAAGAGACAGTTAAGAATGTAGGCCTAGAGGCTGGGGAGATGGATCAGTGGCTAAGAGCACTGGCTCTTGCAGAGGACCTGGGTTCTGTTCCCAGCACCTACATGGCAGCTAACAACTGTCTGTAACTCTAGTGCCAATAGATATGATGCCCTCTTCTGGCCTTGGCCTGCATTGCATGCATATGGTGCACCTACATACATATAGGTAAAACACTCATACACATAGACCCATAAAACCAAAATAAGTGACTTTTTAAAAAAGAATGTAAGCTTAGCAGGGCATGATAGAACACTCAACAGGCAGAGGCAAGTGAATCTCTGTGAGTCCCAAGCCATGTCTACATAGAGAGTTCCAGGCCATGCAGGGCTACATTTTGGTAGTTGTTGCCTTACAAGCATAATGACCTAAATTCAATACTCAGAACCCACCATGCCCTGGGTATGGTGATATGTGTTTACAATCTTACAATCCTTCTGTCGGGGAGGCAGAGACAGATGGATCCCTGGGGCTCCCTGGCGGGCCAGCCTAGTCTACTTGATATGCTCTAGGGTAATAAGAGACTCTGACTCAAAAACAAAACAAGTTATGCGTGGTGGCACACACCTTTAATCCCAGCACTCAGGAGGACCTCTGTGAGTTCCAGGCTGGTCTGGTCTATATAACAAGTTCTAGACCAACCAGGGCTATACAGCGAGACTCGGCTTCAAAACAAAACCAAAACAAGGTGAACAGTTTCTGAGGAATGACACCTGAGGTTCTGCTGGGGTTAAAGACATGGCCCGGCACATGTTTTCTTATCATGACGCCCTGAGCCCCTATGGCCAAATCCTTGAACAACACAGATGCACCTTAAACCTTTGTTATTGAATAACAGTTGTCAAAGGTAAGGAGCTGAAGACCCAATCTCACTATAAACATTAAAGATCACGAGCTTGTTTTCCAAAGGCTGCATATTTCCCTCTGATTGCTGCTTCTGTGGTGCCCACAGACTTGAATTAACTGTATTCCCATTACCGTTTTAGTAAGAAATTATTTCTAATTTTCCCTATGATTTCTTTATTTTTTTCTTTATTTTTTATTTTTGTTTTGTTTTGAGACAGTCTCTCTGTAGCCACAGCTGGCCTGGAACTCACTATATAGACCAGGCTGGCCTCAATCTTACAGAGATCAACTTGCCTCTGCCACCCCCACGCCCCACCCCCCAGCCCTGGGATTAAAGGTTTCCACCACCATGCCCAGTCCTGATTTCTTTTTTTAAAGGTTTATTATGTGTATGTTTAAGCACATGAGTTTATTGCACCACCCATGGATTCTCTGGTGTCAGATTCTCTGTAACTGGAGTGACAAATGGTTGTGAGCCACCTGATGTGAATGCTGGGAACTGAACTCCGGTCCTCCGCAAGGGCCATCTCTCCACCCACCCCCCACTATGGTTTCTTCTTTCACACATTCTTTTGTGTTGTTGTTCACAGACATGTGCTGTTTATTTTCTAGCACCTACCTGTACATATCAGATAGCATCTTAACAGTGTAATCCCATTGTGGGCTTTAGTCCTTTTCAAATAAGAGAAAGCTTGGTGTTTCCTCAGGCTCTATCTATGAGCAGGCATCTTTTTCTTGTGAAGTTAAATGTTTTAATGATACTTACAATCTTTTCTTCAGCATTCACTCCAGATGGTTCTTGGAGACTGGAAGGGGCTATGAATATGAGACCAGGTATTAAGCTTCACAGAAGGTTGTCAGACAGCTTCCCAGGTCATACCCCGCCTCCAGGAATGTTGGGTGCTATCTCAAGACACTTCTCTGTCAGTGGTTCTCAAAGGGGGTGATTTTGTTGCTTAGGTGACATTTGTCCGTGTTGGGAAGGGGATCATAGAAGGTTAGTGAGGGGTGAATAGGATCAAAACACATTGTATATGTATGAAATTGTCAAAGAATAAATAAAAACAATAACAGAATCAAGTATGCAACCTGAGGACCCCTGCGGTAAGGGCAGCAGACAGAATGTGTCTCCTTACTTAGAAAGGACTGAGGCAGGATCATCAGCTGAGACATCACTGTACCCAGGACACCCTAAAAAACTGACTGGAACCAAGTTAGAAATGAAAAGGGGGGACTGGAAGGGAGAGCCACTAACCCCAGTACCTTGAATAGGAACTTCCACATGGTAAGTCCCAGATGGTTCCCCAACCTCCTCCTTCTCCTGGAAGAAGTTGGTATCCAGACCCACCACCCCAAAGGTCAGTTCGTCCAGGGTGCCATGAGCCTCTGAGACATTGTCCAGCAGGTCCTGCCCAAGCTCCACGTGGTCAGAAGCCCAGGGGTCCTGCAACCCCGACAACAGCTCCACAAAGTGGACTGTGATATTTCCAGAGAGGAAGGAGGTAGTGCTGTTGCTGACGGCTTGGATCTCTAGGTGGTGCATCCCGGGGCCCAGCGGTTCCTGGGTGTCTCTGTCCAGGGTCAGATTGAAGGGTAGCGAGCCCCTCTGGGTGGTGAACTCGGCCAGAGTTATGTTATCAGCACAGTGTAAATCACCCCTGCTCCTAAGGGGTGAGGAAAATTAAAGAAGACTGTTACCAACTGTGTGGCTGATTGTACAGTTGCTCATAAGAGAGTTCCAGCTGGAGTGCTGATGTCAGACTCTGGAGTAGACAGGAATATGGTTAAAAAAAATGGGTAAGGACATGTCGCCCTCCTCAGGTGCTAACTGTGCTTATTTTTGAGTATTGGGTTAGTAAGTGATTTTTCTTTTTTAACTTTTTGGGTCTTCTGTGCTCATTTGCATATTCTATTTGTTTTTGAGACAGTCTCATATAACCCAGGCTGGCCCTGAAAACACTATGTAGCACAGGCTGGCCTTAAACTCCTTATCCTCCTGACTCCGCCTGTTGAATGCTGAGGTTACAGGTATGGACCACCACACCCAGTCTGTGTATTGTTATCTGGTTGTTTAGAGACAAAGTCTCTTGTACTCAGAGATGACTTTGGACTTCTGACCCTCCTGTTAGCACCTCCCAAGTGCTGGGATCACAGGTGTGCCTGGTTTCTGTGGTGCTGAGGACATTGTGCATGCTAGGTAAGCACTCTACCAACTGAGCTACATCCCAGCCCTGTTGTTATTGATTTATACTATTCATATGCTACCCCAGAAAACAAAAACATCAGAACATTTTATTGATAGGGATACCGTTGGGGGAGGAGGTTGAAATGGAGGCATCTCTGGATGGACATGCAGATTTTCGAGCACCAGAATGAGTCTCAAGTCTTGTTTTCAACCACAGCGGAGTAGGTGGAGATGTATCCTTCTACGTGTTTTGATGACCTCCTACAATCTGCCCCCATAGAACTCAGCCTATTCTCCATTAGATAAGGGGCTCCCTTGCGATCTGCAGGCAGTTGTCCTGGCTAAATGTTAAATATCGTAGTTGACTGAAAATGTGATTCACACAACCAATTAGGATAAGGAAGAGGAGGAGGAGGAGTTGATAGTGATAGTGATGATCACGTTACATGATAGTGATGTGATGGTGATGATGGTGATGATGGCGATAATCACCTGATCATGGATGACAGTGATAGTGATGATGATGGTGCTGCTGATGGTGGTAATGATGGTAATAATGATGATGGTGACGATGATGATTATTACGATGATGATGGTAATGATGATGTTGGTGATGATAATGATAGTGATGGTGATGATGACAGTGATGGTGATGATGGTGATGGTTATGACGATTTTGTTAATGATGATGGTGATGATGATGGTTATGATGATGATGACAGTGACATGTGATACGATGATGATAATGGTGATCATGTAATATGATGGTGATAATCACATGATGATGGTGATATCATAAACTATGGGAGCAGGACTCTTAATTTTCATGTGTACTCTTATCTCCTCTACACCTGGCGAAGAGCTAACATACAATTATATTTGTAGAATGAAAGAGTAAGTTAAAAGAAGGCTATTTTAAGTTTCCCCAAGTGTCCGTATCAGCTCTTGTTGGCCAACATGCACCGAAGAACAGGGAAGTGCTTCAGGAGCTCTGTTCATCACTGCTAGAGTGAGGGAGGGAAGCCAGAGTGAATCACGGCATCATTTGCACAACTTTGTGCTGCACCATTTATGTCAGCAGGCCTCGGTTCAGACGTCACACCGAACCTGTGCTCATGGAAAGAGGCTGGCTTTGGATAACACCAGAGAGTGGACAGAAAGGATGCAATTTAAAATAACAACGGGTTGGGCGTGGTGGCACACACCTCTAATCCCAGCAGAGGCAGGCATAAGGCAGGCAGATCTCGGGGGAGGGAGGCTATGGGAGGGTGCCATCTGGGAAGTGGGTGTATAGTTGAATAAGATGGTTTGGGATGTTCTGTGTGATATATAAATAAATAAATAAATAAATAAATAAAATAACAATGCAAACTGTGTGAGCATCAGCCCAAAAGGATGAAGAATCAGGGTGGATACTGTGGGCCAACTAGAGGAAATCTTATAACGAATTAGAACGGATGCCATGACCAATCAGAATGGAAGCCTTGAGTAATCGAAATAGATGCGGTGACCAACCAAAATGGCCTCTAGGGCAATTAGAAGACACTGTGTCCAATCAGGGTGGACCCTGGACATAACAGCTGGTAGGCTTATACTAGTGCACATAGTTGAACATTAGTCACACTGGGGCCACAGGATGGTGCCAAGCTCGTTGTTAACCCTGGCTGTGTGAGATCTGCTTGGGTCCAGGTGTCAACCCCCCAACCCCATCCCACCCCCATCCCCCCTCTTCTTATTCAAACTTCTCCAGTGGGAAGTGGTGGGGAGGCTCAGTTCTTTAGATGGGACTGTGGGCATGCAGAGCCATGGGAGGGGGGTGGCTCTCACTGGCTCATCAGCCTTCTGACTTGCGGCAAATCTCTGAACTTTTCTGTGCCACCACATAACGCAGAATCTATCCTGAGTGGGTTATCAAAGGCGAAGCTCTTAGAGCAGTCAGTGGCACCAAATGTGTTAAACAGATGAAGCTAACAGCCAAAACACTAACTCAGTAAGTGAGCACTGTTAATATGTATTAAAGCCTCTGGTTAGCTAGATTAACCTAGACAGATCCTTCTGTTTGCCTTGACCTGCTCAGTTCTGCAGACTCACCTCCATCCAGCTCCACCTGAATCCACAGAGGTTCCCCAAAGACAGCCTGACAGAGAAGGTTGGCTCCAGACCTGGACAGGCCAGTGCGCCCGGTGACACTGAGTTTCTCCGTCTTGTCCTGCAGTGTCACTTGCTCCTGAGCAGTCACGTGCCACTCACTGGTTGTGCACTCGGCAAACACAGTGAATTCCCCAGGAGAGGTGAACTGGTGGGTCACATTGCTGGACACACTGTGGGTGACGATCAGAAACGTTACAGAGCGGGGGTGCACAGGACAGGGGCTGGGTATAGAGCTCAGCTGACAGAGGGCTTGCCTAGCACACAAAAGCTCTGAGTGTGAGTCCCAGCACCCCATAAACTGGGTGTAGTGGCACACATCTGTGATCCCAGCCCCTAGGAGGTAGAGCCAGGAAGGCTAGAAGTTCAAGGTCATCCTCAGCTACGTAGTGAGTTTGAGGCCAACCGCAACTGTTTTGGAAAATCAAAATTGGTGAAGAAGATAAAAGATGCTACATGTCACACCTTGTCCTCAGTGTCAGGGGAGCCAGAAGGTCAGGGGAAGTCACACTGAGGCAGCCAGGAGCAGTCAGAAACAGAAACTGACCAGCCAGGGAGAAGAATGCCCACTGCAAAACCCTTTAAAAGTCAACTGTCAGTCTTTCTGTCCATCTAGCCAGCCAGTTAGCCAGCCAGCTATCTGTCTGTCTCTCTGTCCATTCCTCCATCTGTCCATTCATCCATCTATCCGGTCAGCTATCTATCTGCCCGTCTCTCTGTCTATCTATCCATCCACTGCCTATCCATCTGTCTATCTATATCTATGTATCTATGTATGTATGTATCTATCTATCCATCTATCCATCTATCTGGTGTATGTTCGTGTGTGCATGCACCCATGTGTGTGCATGTGTATGTACCAAGGCCAGAGGTCAAGCTTGAGTGCTGCTCCTCATCTATCCATCCACCTTGTTTTTTGAGTCAGGGTTTCTCCTAGACCTAGAGCTCACTGGTTTAGTCAGGCCCAGGAGCTCCAGGGCTCCTCCTGTCCTGGCTTCGCCAGTCCTGGGATTACAAGCACGTGTCACCACACCTGGCTTTTTACATGGGTTCTGGGGATTGAACTCAAGTCTTCATGTTTTCATAGCAAGCACTTTTTTGACTGAGTCATCTCCCAGGTCTCTCCAACCCTTTCCTGCCATTGTCTCCCTCAGTGGTTCACGTGGCCCCTTCTCCAGACCATTCTACTTCATCTGTGAACTCTTTGCTCCAGACTGCCTTTCCTTATTCAGCCCATCTATAAAAGGGGGTCAGAATCCCAAGTTATCAAAACCACGGGCAAGCTTTGCTTTGCTTCTTATTTTAATTAAAAAGGCCAATGTGGCCTCCAAAGTTCTACAGGCCTTTCACTTCTGGTCTGAACCCCATCTACTCTCCCACATCTCCTGTCTAGCCACAGGTCGCCAGACCACTCTCCACTTCTTTTTTTTTTTTTTTTTTGCATTTCAAGTGTGTGACTTTCTGCTGGTGAGACTTTGGCCCCCTCCTGTTCATATGTGGCTGCTCTCCTTTATAAAGATCCCCTTTATGGCTTCCATGAAGTCCCTTGTTTCTGGGGCCTCATGTGCCTTTTGTACATGCTGGCTCAGGGTCATCCTATGCTGTAGGTTGTCAGTGTCCACAGTGTCTGTCTAGTTCTCTGTCACATTCAGTGGTTCCTTGGTACCCAGAGGATACCAGAATCTCTGAATACTCAAATCCTTTGCTTACATTCACTGGCAATTTCCATATCCCTTAACCTGGAGCTCACTGGCCAGTCAACCTAGTCAAATCAGAGCACTCCAGGGTCAGTGAGCATCTCTGTCTCAAAAATAAAGGGGAGAGTAATTGAGGAAGTTACCTGATGCTGACCTCTGGCCTCCACACACAGGCACAGCCATGTACACCACACACATTCACGCACACCTGCACTGACACAAACACATAGGACATATAAAAGGTGTTTCAGAGCTGGGTGTGGTGGTGCACGCCTTTAATCCCAGCACTTGGGAGGCAGAGGCAGGGGGATCTCTGTGCATTCAAGACCAGCCTGGTCTATATAGTGAATTCCAGGCCAGCTGGGGCTAAAGGGAGACGCTGTCTCAAAAAATAAAAAAAAAAAAAAAAAAAAAAAAAAAAAAAAAAAAAAAAAAAAACAAGACCCAGCCATACATTGCCTGCAAGAAGTCTACTTTAATATCAACAAACACTAACCGAATGAAAATTGGGCTAGGGGTGCAGCTCAGTGGTAGAGCACAGGTGAGTCCCTGGGTTTCCCCAGCACCAAAAAAGAAAAAAAAAGTTGGGCAGTATCAGACAAGACAGGAAAAATAACCTATGGAAATGTAAAGGATGGCCTTGAACAGCAACTCAGTCTGTCTCTCAGTGATTTGTCAGGAAGAAACAATTTATTCCATTTTTCTGAACTCCAATGCCAACTGAAATTTCCCAGGACTAAAAGGCACAGATGTAGATCTCTCCTGATCGCTCTCTCCCAGGGAGAAGCCTGAAAAGCACTTTTAGAAACTGCTGCCAGCAAATCAGAGACTCTCTGGGAATACAAAGAGCAATTCAAGTCCATCCTGTGATCTATGACCCCGCACTTCCTTTCTTGGCTATCAGTCCATTAAAAGGGCTGGGGAGAGGACTACATGGTTACTATGAGGACCAGAGGCTAGATCTGGATCTGCAGAAGCCACATAAAAGCCAGGGGGGTGTGGGAGACCACCTGCAACTCCAGCCTGAAAAGGTGGAGACGGGATTCCCAGATTAAACTGCCTGGCAAGACTAGCCAGATCAGCGCACTCTGCATTTGATTGAGAGACCCTGCCTCAATGAATAAGGTGGAAGAGTGATGGAGGATGATTACTAGCATCAAACTCAGACTTCCACATGCATGTGCACCATACACACATGAAAAGGAAAAAGCCAAAATAAATAAGAAAAACTACACACACGCACACACATGCGCACACACACATGCACACGCACACACACACACACACACACACACACACACAAAGACGTGATAGAGTGTCTGTGGCAGCACAGTTTGTATTTTGTTTGTTTATTTGGCTGGTTCTGATGATACTGGGACTTGAACTCAGGGCTTTATACATGCCAGGCCACGGCTCTTCTACTGAGCTGCATCCCCAGTCTAGCAGCACAATTTGTAACAGCCCCAAATTAGAAGCCATCCAAATATCTAAATTTCTGTCGACCTTAGAGTGGACAAGTAAGCTGATGTGTAATCTCAAAGCAGAATGTTCTAGAGCAGTAAAGGAAAGAAACTACAATTCTCTATATATGAATAGACCCTAAAGATGTAATGGAGAGACGCACATTACATTCTTACTGAACTTTTGCGAATTTCAAACAATATATTTTGATCATATTTAATTCCCCTCCCTTATCTGTACCCCTCTTATAGTCCCCCACCCCTGCTGGAGTTCATGTACTCTGTCATGTATGCCAAGGCCTATCAAGCCAAATTTGTGTCCCCAAATGTCCTTTGGTGTGCATCCATCCAGAGCCTGGTTAACCTATCTAGTGTCACATCCTTAGAGAAAATCAACTCTCCCTCCCCCAGTAATTATTAGCTGACAATAATTCCTCAGCTAAGGTTGGGGATTTTTATCTTATGTGTATGAGTGGGTTTTTTTTTAATGTGTATGTGTGTATTGCCTGCATGGAGGTAAGTGCACCCGTGTCATGCAATGCCCACAGAGGACAGAAGGGGCTGTCAGATCCCCTGGCACTGGAGTTATGGACAGTTGTTAGCTGCCATGTGGGTACTGGGATTTGAACCCAGGTCTTCTGCAAGAACAGCCAGTGTTCTTAACCACTGAGCCATCTCTCTAGCCCCATGTATGAGTGTTTTGACTGCATGTATGTAAGTTGCACGCATGCCATACAATGCCCATGGAGGCCAGAAGAGGGCGTCGGATCCCCTAGAACTAGAGTTAAGGATGGTTGTTAGCGGCCATATGGGTGCTGGGAACTGAACCTGGGTCCTCTGCAAGAGCAGCGAATGCTCTTAACTACTGAGCCATCTCTCCAGCCCCTCCACCTTGTTTTTGAGACAGGGTCCCTCATTGGCCGGGAGCTCACCAAGTACACTAGGCTGGCTGAGCAAAGAACCCCACGGATCTTCCTGTCTCCGTTTCCCCAGTGCTGAGATGACACAGGCATGCTGCCATGCCTAGCTTTTCTTTTTACATGGGTTCTGGGCATCAAACTCAGGTCCCCATGCTTGCTTGGCAAGTGAGGCTCAGGGAGGTGTAGCAGCCTGGCCCAAGGCGCACAGACAGAAGGTGGTGATGCAAACCAGGCCTGGGTGACAACGACGCTAAGGCTGTCAGAGGCCGGGTGAGGATGCACAGAGCACACCACTGGAACAGAGCAAGCTGTGCCTGGCATCCTGCAGGGAGCAGAGATGCTCTTCTTCCTTGACAGAAAGCTCAACACCACTCATAACATTTCACTCTCACTTCTAGAAACTTCTCCCTCACATGGGAACAAGCCTAGTCCAGCCTGTGTGGTGATAGTACAGGACCCCAACTGATATCAAGTTGACCACAGGACATGTTGAGGGAGTGAGGCCTTCTTTGGCCAGCCACCAGCAACATGTTTGGCCTAGGCAGGAAATCCACCCAGCCCTCCTTAGACAAATGAGAAATGTTCCAGTCATTAGATTTGGGGATGGCTTGTTATGCAGCAAAACCTGACTGATACAGCCTGCCTGAAGGATCGATCAGAGGCCACTCTTACCTGGGAGGGTAGTAGGGGTCAAAAGTGTGGCCATCTCCCATGCTGAGCATGCAGGACAGGTTTCCAATGTAGGGAGAGAGGAGCCATGTCAGCGAGATGGTAACATTTTCAGAGACGAAGTTCCCATGAGACACCACTAGCCGCAGGCCTACAGAGCCAAACACAAGATGTCTTATGAATTCACAAAGCAAAGTTGCACATTTCTACCTAATACTCTCCTTCATCTGCCTACCTAGGCATTTAAAGGTGTTTGTTGTTGTTTTTGAGATAAGGTCTTGCTGTGTAGCTATGACGGGTTCAGAACTCTCTGTGTAAACCAGGCTGGCCTCAAACTCATAGAGATCCACATGCCTCTACCTCCTGAGTGGGAGTAAAGGCCTGTATCACCACGGTACACTTAAACTTCATTTTTATTTTTAAAAGTTTTTTTTTTTTTGAGACAGAGTCTGTAGATCCCAGACTGGCCTCATACTCGATATGTATCTGAGGATAACCTTGAACTCCTGATCCTCCTGCCTCCACCCTCCAAGTCCTGGGATTACAGGCATGTTCCACCATACCCAGTTTATGTGGTGCTGGGGATCAAACCCAGGGCCTCGTGCATGCTAGGCAAACACTCTGCCCGCTGAGCGACATCCCCAGCCTCTAAAAGTTCTTTTTCATTCATAGTTAAGACACAGCCAAAATGCTGAGTTGGAGATACATAAAGTGTGGAATGGGAAGCAAGCATTCTCTGCAGTCCCACAGCCCGAGTTCTGCTGCCTAGAGAGAGTTGTTACCAGAACCTGGGCTCCTTTCCAGAAAGACTACACACACACGCATGCACACACACGCACACACACACACACACACACACGTACTCATGTTTCTTTATTTACATAGCTGGTGCGTGCACCTTACATTTTTTTTTTCTACCTAGTGTATGTCAGAGATTGAGGTTCATGGTTATCACTAGAGAAGTCTTATTCTTTTTAATAGCTGGTTAATATACCTTACTTTATTGAACCAGGATCCTACCGATTATCCAAATCTGTTTTATAATGGCTAAAATGACCAAAGGCAAAGCTCCTTTAAGGACATCTACTTGGCTAAGGTGTCCGATGAGTCACTGGGAGCCATTTCATATTAAATAATACAAGCTTTGAACTTCCAAAGCTGATGTGGGAAAGGGTGGGGTGAGACAAACAGAATCAGACAGGGCTTCATGTAGTCCTGTGCTAACCAGTACACTGCAGCCTCCAGGGCCTGGGTACCAAAATGAGAGTGGGAAGATGCTTCTGGAGCTAGGCAGAGCACCATCAGGGTCCTCAGGGTACAGCTGGGTCCTTTGGGCTCTAACTCAAGTCCCTTTCTTCATGAATCAGAGGCTGGTTGTGATTAGAACACAGTGGTTCAAGGGAACAGGATGAAATCAGGGCGGGGCAGAAAATATGGTCCATGTGGTCACCACACCCATCACACCCCTCTTCTGCCCTAAGCCGCACACTTAGGTTACAGCACACTGTGGTTGACCAATCTCCAAGACACCCTTTGTCCACTTGCAAAACCACCAAACAAGTTACTGCCAAACCACATGGCCCCATCTTCCCAGACAATAGATTGAGAGTCTCACTCATTTTTATTTTCCCAGACACAGCCATGAACAAATCCTGCTGATAAAGCCCATCTCAGCTGCCACCCTCCCCCTCCTGCACCCTCATCTCAGCTAGACGTCCCTAGGAACTCTGTATGCCATGACTCATCCCTTCCCCTCAGGTCCCTATTGCTCATGTCCCCAGCAGAAGTTGCCTGTGTGAGTCATTTGTCACAGGATGGCACAGTGGCTCAGCCTTAGAGTGAATCCCTATATTCAACCTTGTTTGTAAGAATACGAATTAATACAACTCTTTGGGGGAAGGTAATTTGGTAATGTCTACTAGTATTTAAGATGCAGGTAGCACTCCAATTACTAAGGATTTCTTCTCTGAAAAGAATCCCAGGTTATAGAGCTGGAGAGATGACTCAACGGTTAAGAACACTGGTTGTTCTTGCAGAAGACCCAGGTTTAAATCCCAACACCCACATGGCAGCTAACAACTGTCCGTAACTCCAGTTCCAAGGGATCCGATGGCCTCTTCTGTCCTCCACTGGCATTGCACGCCATAGGTGCACTTACCTATATGCAGGCAACACACTCACACATATAAAATAAAAATAATAAATAAAATTTTAAAATGCATATATAGGGCTGGAGAGATGGCTCAGCAGTTAAGAGTACACACTGCTCTTGCAGAGAACCTGGGTTCAGTTCCTAACACCCATATTGGGCAGCTCACAACCAGGGGCACCTACACTCCCATTCATAGACACACACACACACAGTTTTAAAATAAAATAAAGAAATTTAAATGCATATATATTCACTCATCACCATGTCTGCAAATATCTTAAAAAGTAGAGAAGAATTTCTTTTCAATAATTAATAGTGTTTCCTTAGGAGAAGAGGCAAGTGGATCTCTGTGAATTCAAGGCCAGCCTGATCTACAAAGCAAGTTCCAGGTCAGCCAGAGCTACACAGTGAGACCCTGTCTCAAACACAAAATGCACCAAACTAATCCTTAGGAGGAACAGGACTGTCAAATTGAAGGGAAGGATTTTTTCCTTCTTTAAGGTTTTTATAAATTGTGACAACATGAGCTATTTCATGATTCTTTAGATTTGTATTTTTAAATTTTTTATTATTTTTATTTTATGTGTATGAGTATATTGCATGTAAGTGCACCCATGTCATACAATGCTCACAGAGGTCAGAAGAGGGCATCGGATCCCCTGGAACTGGAGTTTTAAACAATTGTTAAATGCCATGTGGGTGCTGGGAATCAAATCCAGGTCCTCTGCAAAAGCAGTCAGTGCTCTTAACTGCTGAGCTGTCTCTCCAGCCCCCATAGATCTATTTAAGTACTTTATTTTTATTTTTATTATTTATATATGTGTGTGTGTCTGCCTATGAGCATGTGCGTGTGCACAGGTACTCCCAGAGGCCAGAAGAAGGCATCATATCTGCCCCCCCCCCAGAGCTGGAGTTACAGATGGTTGTGATCTGCCCTACCTGGGTGCTAAGAATCAAACTGTGGTCCTCTGCAAGAGCAGTAAGCATTCTTAACTGCTGAGCTGTCTGTCTAGTCCCTAAATTTGTATCTATTTTTTTAAAGTGTGAGACTTTCTCGCTCCTTCTAACCAAGAACCCTGCTTTTTTCTGGGCACCTGCTAGGTCATTAACATTTAATTCCTCTTGAAGGGTCCTGGGGTTAAATTTGTTGTTGTTTAATTTCTGATTTGGCTTCTGCAATAGGAGCTGGAAATGCTTGGCCCCAAGAGAGAGGGTCAGGTCGGGAAGTCAGGCCCAAGGAAGCTGTTGTGGGGAAGGAAGTCTCCCCCCCAACAGTAGATCTGCCCACATGGGTGGAGGTAGGGGGCTTGGGGCTGGCATACAGTGAGCAGAAGAAAAACTCCCAGTCCTGTGCCAGACTCACCTTCCAGGCACTGGTACTGCACCCACAGGTAGCTGCCCCTGGGGGGGTCACAGGTCTCCAAAGTAGGTTCCATCTGCTGCCACCTGGCACGCCTGCAGCCCTTGGCACTGGCCTGGGAGGCATCCATATCCCATGGAGATGGGTGTGGGAGACAAAAGACCACACTCAGCGGAGCTTTGCAGTGATGCGTTACTGCTCAGCCACTCCGTCACCTGCCCAACAAATGCCTGCTGGTATCTACAGGCCCTGGGCTAAGAACTAAGAAGAGAGTCAGATTGATGGAAACAAGGGGGACGGACAGAGGCAATTTCATATTTTGTATTATACAACACGCTTGTGCTCCACATTGTCGAAAGGAATCTGTACACACATTATTATTAGCTTAACATGTATGCATTGATGATGGTTAGCCCCTCCAGCCCAGATGCCATGGAGGAGTACAACACTAACGACTCAGTGTTCCAAAATATGTCTGAGCGCAGACATCAGGAGATGAGGGAGGAGTGAGAAGGGAGAGCAAGAGAGGCACAGACATCACAAGTCTCAGAACCGTGGCTGACAAGAGAGTATAGGGCCAGACTGAGGTCTGGGATGACTGACTGCCCCCTTCTTTCAATAGGATCTGCAGGCTGGAGATGAGACAATAAGCGGTATTTTAGGGTGTTCACCTGCTGCCTTCTCAGATTGCTGGCTCCCTGAATAAAATGCAGTTTTAAATTTCATTTCCTATCTCTGCTTATTAGCCTCAGAAGTGACAGGCAGCACCAGGAATTTCAGAATTCCTGCCCCGTGAGCATATCTGGGCCTGGCACACTGGCTGTCAAACTTTAGCATATACCAGACACCCTGGGCAGATTGTGAAGACATGGAAGTCCAGAACAGTCCCACTGTGATTCTGATTCAGTTGGTCTGGGTGAGGCCCAGGATTCTGCTTTTCAAACAAGTTCTGAGGTGACACTGGGGCTATTGGTCCAGGGACCCCATTCTAAGAATCACCAATCCCTTAACTTCTAGTCAGATAGCCTAACATAGGAACCAGCAGAAGGGTCCAGATCAGGTATTCTGTATTCATTACAGGTACCAGGTACCCACAAAGGAAAGAGGCACTGAGGACCTAAAGCAGGAACTGAGGGTCACTCAATACCTTCTGCACCGGTCCCTGCTATCAGGTGCTTCAAAGGAGCCTGGGAGAGAGACAGGCAGGAACTATGCCCCAAAGTGTTCCGTGGCTGCAAGACCTGCCCGTCTTGGCTCTCCTTGCTCCTGAGGCTTGCTCTAAGCTGTGACATGTTTAAATGCCTACACAGTTGCTTAGCCAGCAAGACGCCCACACGGAAACAGCTAGAAGAGACCGGGAAGGCTCCTTTGCATAGCTTTTAGAAGGAGTGTGTCCCTACTGACACCTTGATCTTGGGCTCTGGCCTCCAGAACTGGGAGAGAATAGATTTCTTTTATTCGATGCTCCGCATTTGTGGTCTTAGTTTGGACAGGCCTGGGACACTGCCTTCCACCCCGTCTCCCCTTGTGGCCCTCTTCTCTCATCATCTCCAACATGTACTTAGGGACATGGTGGTCCAAGACAGAAGCAGCACAGCATTCTGGACTCCCACCTGTGAGCAACAGCACCAGCCTTCCCTCTGTGTCTAGAATTCGCTTAGTTCTCAAATCTGCCATCGTGCCACCAGCACCTCTCACCTGGGTTTCTGACAGCCCCTTCTTGTCTTCCAGCCCCCACCGGGACTCACAGTGTCCGAGTACAGCTCTAAACCCAAACACCTTTTCTCCTCCCTGCTCAGAATCCTCCAGTGCTTCCCAATGGATAAAATCCAGGCTCCTTGAGTGAATCCCCATCTCTATCTGTGCTAGAACTGCACCAAGCACTTTGGAATTCCTTGTACCACTGAGCTCTTTTTGCTCTTTCCAGGATTTCCCACATGCCTTTCCCACCTCCCAAACCATCTACCTTTGCTTTTCCTAGTAGCCTCCTACCTCCTCTCTCTTCTGGGAAGTTGACTAATCTCATTGGATCTTTGTTCCCCAAAGGTCCCCTCACCCAACTTTATACCACATTACAGGGAATTGCATTTCCTAGATTTTCCTGGTCCATGCTGGCACATGTAGAGGAATACATATTCATCATTTTCAATTGCTGCTAAAACACATTACTGAAAAATCAGTGGCTCCAAACAACACAGGTTCGTTGTCTCTCAGTGCATTTGGTTAGAGGTCCAGGTTGGCTGGACGGAGTTGGGCTCTGCACTGGGGCTGCTTTCTCTCCCAGGGGCTCTAGGGACAACTGCTGGCAATACAGCTTTTAATTTTGTTTTTGCTTTTTTATTTTTATTTTATGTATATGAGTGTTATGCTTGCGTATGTATAAGTGCACCCGTGTCATGCAGTGCCCATGGAGGACAGAAGAGGGTGTCAGATTCCCTGAGGACTAGAGTTGCAGACAGTTGTTAGCTGCCATGCGGGTGCTGAGATTTGAACCTGGGTCTTCTGCAAGAGCAGCCAGGACTCTTAACCACTGAGCCATCTCTCCAGCACCCCCCCAATACAGAATTCTCTCACCCCAAAACATGGCCTTTCCAAGCAAACAGTGGAGCAGCAATCTGCTCACATCTGGATCTGGGTTGTCTCCTCCTCCCCATCTCTCTTCTGTTTCCGGCGAGAGAAAGACCCTGCTAACTAGATAACATTGGAGAAACTCTCCATCCCCAAAGCAGCTGGTTAGTGACCCCACTTACATCTGTAGAGTCCCCATGTCTAGTGAGTGGTCATATTCATGAGCAAGGGAACAGCAAGGTGCACTTTCAAGGGAGAAGAAACACCTAGAGAAAGACGACTCAGGAGCACCATGCTCTCCTCCCTAGATCTTCATGGGGTCTTTAGTCAGAGACAGAGCCTTAGAGGGGAAATGCAGAGAAGCACAGGTGCCCGTGGCCTCGCACATATTACTATGTCCTCCTTAGCTGAAAAGCTAAGACCACCTACCTGCCTTCCTGGGTCCCTGTTGGCTAGACAGTGGTCGCTGCAGCAGGCAGCACAAGATTCCCCGATGTTCTGGATGAAGAAAGGTTCTAGGATTTCACAAGGAGGACTCAGAAAACTCCAGTAATCCCTGAAATTGAATCCTCTGGTGGAGAAAGTGGGGCTCAGAAATTTAATCTGATTTAGAAAAACAAAGCCCTGGAGAAACTCTCCCCACCACACAAGAGATATAATCATAAATGTCTGTCTCAGGGGCTGGGGAGATGACCCAGTCAGTAAAGTATATGCCACGCAAGCCTGAAGACCTGAGTTGAACCCCCAAACTCATCTAAAACTAGGATATGTGTGGGGTATGGTGGCACATGTCTTTAATCTCAGCACTTAGAAGCCAGAGGCAGGTGGGTCTCTGTGAGTTTGAGACCAGGCTGGTCTACGTAGCAAGTTCCAGGTCAGCCAGAGATGCATAGTGAGACCTTGACTTTAAAAAAAAAAAGTAGGTGTGGCGCAAATTTATAATTTTAGCACTGGGGAAGTGGAGACAGGCAGATCCCTGGGGCTCAGTGGTCAGCCAGCCTGACGTCTAATCTGTGAGTCCCAGGCCAGTGAGAGGCTCTATCTCAAAAGAAACAACATGGATGACTCCTGAGGAATGACACCCAAGAGTGTCCTCTGGCCTCCTCATGCATGTGCACACATGTACATATGCACCTGCACACGTACACACACCCATGCACATGTACTTGCTGAATGGTACATCACTGACAGCACCATTTATATAACAAAAGTTATACAAGGCCTAGGGATGCACAGAAAGCAGGCAGAACTGAGACGCACTCCTGCAATTAGTAGACACTGGGTTGCTGGCAGGAACCGGATGCAGAGGCCACTCAAGAGCCCAGTGAACCGTGCTCGTTTTTCTAAAAAATATTTTAGTTATTTTATGTGTGCGAGTGTATTGCCTGCATGTATATAAGTGCACCCATGTCATGAAATGTCTGTGGAAATCAGAAGAGGGTGTCAGATTCCCCTGGAACTGGAGTCTTCAGTGGTTGTTAGCTGCCATGTGGGTGCTGGGAATCGAACCCAGGTCCTCTGCAAGAGCAGCCAGGGCTCTTATCTGCTGAGCCATCTCTCCAGCCCCTGTGCTCATTTTTTATGAATGAATCTAAAGCGAACGCCACAATGTCGTATGGTATTAAGATCTGACGAGTGACTTTTGGGGAGTTCATGACAATACTCTTTTTTTGGGGGGGGGTTGTTTGTTTTTTGTTTTTTTGGCTTTTTTGAGACACGGTTTCCCTGCAGCCCCAGCTGACCTGGAGCTTGCTAGGTAGGTCTTGAACTCACAGAGATCTGCCTGCCTCTGCCTCCTGAGTGCTGGGACTAAAGGTGTGTGCTGTCACACCTGGCCATCACAGTATTCTTTATTCTTGTTTCTTTGTTTGAGACACTGTCTCTTGTTGCCCAAGCTGGCCTCAATCTTGCTAGGAGTAGCTGAGCATCATCTTGAACTGATTCTCCTGCCTCCACCTCACAGGTCTGAGCCACCATTCCCAGCTCTCTTTATTCTTTTTTGAAGGTTTAAAAGCTTTCATATATGAGTATTTTGCCTGTGTATATATAAGTATATCACATGCATGCCAGAAGATGGAGTCGGATCCCCTGGAACTGGAGTTTTGGACAGTTATTATCCACCATGTGGGTACTGGGAACAGAGCCCAGGTCCTCTGCAAGAGCAGTCAGTGCTCGTAACCATTGAGCCATCTCTCCAGCTTCTAGGAATGAACTTTTACTATTAAGACTCAAAAAATAGCTGACTGTCCCCTGAGAAGCTCATTCCCACTCTTGGTCTCTTCCTGAGTGTCTCTCTATTAACTCCTATGCTTAAACCATGTTAAACTTTCTTCCTAATAAACTCCAACTTTGGGCCAGTGAGATGGCTCAGTGGGTAAAGGTACTGGGGCTAATCCTGGCCTGAGTTCATTACCCAGCATCCAGATGGTAGAAAGAGAGAACCAACTTTCACAAGTTGTCCTCTGATCCACACAAGCACTGTGGCAGGCACACACACACACACACACACACACACACACACACAAATGAATAAATAAAAACCCAAATTTTAAAAAACAAACAAGGGGCTGGAGAGATGGTTCAGCAGTTAAGAGCACTAGCTGTTCTTCCAGAGGACCTGGGTTTGATTCCCAGCACCCACATGGCAGCTAACAACCATCCGTAACCCCAGTTCCAGGGACTCCAACGCCCTTTTCTGACCTCCAAGAGCACTGTACAACACATGTGCACTTACATACATGCAAGCAATTCACTTATACACATAAAATTTAAAAATAACAAAATTTTAAAAACAAATTAATAAATGGAATGAAAATTATTGAAATAGGGCTGGTGATATGACTCCCCAGGTAAACAGCCACCAAAGTGGAGATCTGAATTTGATCCTCAGGACATACCTGATGGAAGGGGAGGGTCAAATTCTGCAAGTTGTTCTCTGACCTCCACGTGCGTGCACGCTCACACATGTACACACGCACGCATGCACACGCCACAAAATAAATTAAAATACAATAAAATAAACTCCAACTTTGCTTCAAAAATAAAAGGCTCTGAAAACAAGATGATTAATTTTAAAAAGAAAATAAATTCATGGAAGTGAATCTGAGCTTCAAACAGTATGATGGGGTCTGAAGTGAAAGCATCTTCCTGTCTTCCAACGTGTGGGCTGCTCTGGTTATGAACATTTGTGTAATTCATTCCAGACTGAATATTATCCACACACGACATTTATGAATGCCTGAACTCTGCTGGTGCACATCTCCGAACTGGCCACAGTGCTTGGCCCTTGCTTCTTAATCACATTAAGTCTGGCAGGTGCTACTTGTCCACCTAGTGGATCTACACCATCTTGTGTGACAGCCACAGCATCCCTTGGGAGAGCTTAATAACTCTAACTCTGTTAGCTTCCCACGAAGCTAACAGTGTATATTACGTGTATATATTCAGTGTATAGTACGTCACAGCCACTATATCAACAAGAGTCAAGAGACCATTCACATGCATTGCTTGATGAGGCATCTTGAGAATTTGAGTCCAGGGGCTCAGCAGTTAAAAGGACATACTGCTCTTGCTGAGGACCTATGTTTGGTTCCCAACACCCGTGCCAGGTGGCTCACCACACCTGTCACTCCAGCTCCACCACACTCTTCTGGCCTTTATGAGTACCCACATGTACATGGTATTCTCTCTCTCGCTCTCTCTCTCTCTCTCTCTCTCTCTCTCTCTCTCTCTCTCTCTCTTTCACACACACACATACACACACACACACACACACACACACACACACACACACGCACACACACTCGTGCAGATAAAAAAAATAAGGACCCTTGCCTGTGTGTCCTTAAATGAGGCCCCCAGCTGCTTGCTTACTGGTGTGTTTCCATGGATACTCAATTCAGACCAAGCCAGTCCTTTCTAAATCTCAGGAGCTTCTACAGGAGCAAAAAGAAACCCTGGGTACATCTGTGGCTTGGCAGAGTCCGGGAACGAGAAGGATGGAGTACATGTGTGTCTCTGTCCATGTTGAGTGTGGAACCTTCCTGGAAGGACACAGAGTCTAACACCTGAACAGTTTCAGCCATGTCCAAAGTGATCTGGTGGAGGGGTGGACAGGGTCCCGCAGGGGCTCAGAGAAGGGCTCGCCTGGCTGGTGGGTGCAGGAAGGAGCTCTGGCAGAGAGAAGCTTCTGGGAAGAAACTTAAAATGAGACAATCTGGTGGGCCTATGGTGTGGACATCTTAGTACAGGAGTGGCTGGGGAAGCTCAGAGCAGTGGGGGAAAGGTATGCTTACACTTTAAAAACAGATCACAATTTTGTAAGTCTGATTCCTTGTTTGTAAGCTGAGGACAGTCATACCAACTTTCTCATTATGGAAAGAATCGGAAAGGTAATGGCCAGGAAGCAGCACTGTGCTAAGACAGAGCTTCTAACCATGCAGACAGGAATGCAGGCATTCTCAAGAGACGTGGGCTCCACATCCTTTCAGCTATCAGACTACTGAGAGAACAAACTCCAAGAAGTTGAAATTTCCCCAGGAATCTCATGCTGGGAGAAGGAAAAGGCCAGAGGGGGAGGTTGTCTCCCAAGAAGAGATTTCACACAGTTCTGGTAACTTGTCAGGCCACCTTGAAGGACAGACTGCTGACAGTCACGGTGGGCATGGCCACACCTTGACCAGACCGCCCAGTTACATGCACCTTTTACATTCTATTCAAACCCAAACCTCATGCCAGGACCCTGACGTTGGACTGGTTGGGGGCGGGTCACTGGGCCTCTCTGTTCCTCTTCCCTCTTCATACGGCCTTTTTCGGCTTCTCATGATTGCCTATTGATGGGTAGCTGATTTTGGTTTGTTAGGGTTGCCAGGGCCTAGGCCTTGATCCCAACAACTTCAGTAACAAAGTGAAGAAGTCACGGCTGGCATTATTACCATGTGCAGGCAGGTCTGGACCCAGGGAGGTCAGGGAGAGCCCATGCCCAGCATGCACAAGGCCCTAGGTTCAAATCCCAGGATAAGAAGTATGCAAATAGAGGCTTCTGGAATATCTCCTCTGCTGGTTACTATATGAATTATTTCACTTGAATCATTAGAAAAACATAGAGGAGGTTCTCCTTGTCTAGAATTAGGACATAGTAATTTGCCCCATGGGTTCTGAGTGAGGCATGGCAGAGAAAAATTTTATCATAAGTTTCTCACCAAACATAGATACACAGCGCCTACCTCCTGTGGTCTCATCCGGTGCTGAGGTTCCTGCGAGTCCAATCCACCAGTCCCTGTCCTGGGTGATGTGTTTCTGCAGGAACTGTTGGGTGTCTTCATCCTGAATGAAGACCAGATGGCCTCCATGCCCTTCACACCAGCCCTGGGCACTGTGGAAGGATGTCCCAGAGGCACGAACTCATAGCAAGCACCTCTGAAGGCCAGCTGGCTCTTTGAGCAGGGGTTGCTCCCTTCTGGCTTAGCCACAGCGGCTCCACTGTGAGCCCCAGGAGCACCAAGCCTGTTGGGCACATCCTTGGACCACTGCTGGGGCGACAGGACGGAGCTGGCTTTCCTTTCCTTCATATGCTACTGTTCCTACCCCCACCACCATCCATCTTCTCTTTTGCATCACTGCCTTTTGTTTAAGAGACAAAAGACTCAGGGTGAATGTGTCTGCACTTCCCCCAGTTGTTTGCTCAATGCCTGTTTGAAAATCAATTCATACTTGAATCTCTTTAAGAGAAAGAAAGATTTGCGGTATCTCCTGTCCACTTGTCAGCCATCAGTGTTTGATAGATTCTGTGCTATTGATATTTTTTGTTTTTTCGGTCACGATCTGAGTGCTTCAGGAACAGTCATCAGCATGTGGGAGGTATGTCATAAAAATGGCATGAAAGTTAGAGTTATGGGCTGGCACACACACAGTGGTGCCCGTATCTGATCCTATTGTGTAGAATGGCAACTGTGCCCAGGTGATAACTGTCATCCTCCAATCCAGCTGCAATATTACAGGATAATTGGGTCCTTTCTGACTCATCACGTTATCACACCTCCTGGAGGATTTTTAAAAATCCAACAAAATTTATTTAATATCATCAAATAATCTTTCTTTCAAAACTCAGGTCTGCCCATCCTTGCCCATTACCTAAACCATCTGGTGAGTGTCCAGGGTCTGTGACTCAAGTCCAAGCACCTTATCTTTGCACATGAGGCTCTGTATCATCTGGCCCCTGACAATATTTCACACATGGCCCTCAAAATGCAGGAAGCAGGCAGTCTCGCTCCTGGAAAACAAGGATATAAACAGGACGGCAGTGAACATTGTGACAAGGTCTATCAAATCCTTAAAAGCACGAGCTCTATAGTGTAGCAATTCTGCATCTAGGAATTGACCCCCAGATAAATTCATATGTGTATACACGTGTGCAAATCATGTGTTTACTCACTACAGCTTTGTAAAAGAAAACATTGGAAAGAACCTCAATGTGCATTGATAGCAAAATGGTTAACAAAACGTGTGTTGACAAATGTGTTTAAGAATGAGCAAACACTTCCTGCCCAGACTTGGAAGGCTCGCTAAGATCCGTTAATATTAAAAGCTAACTATGAGACATCATGTACAGCCAAATCTTCTTTGTATAAAAAAACACATAACTATTTATTTGTATGTGTATAACAAATCTCGTAAAGAAGCAGGCGATAGTGACTGTAGGATGGGGGAGGGTAGATCGAAGAATCTGGAAACAGACTTTCCTTCCTCCCTCTCTGTCTTCCTTCCTTCCTTTATCCTTCCCTCCTTTTCCCTTGCCTTTCCTCTCCCTACTGAGTAATTGCACCACACGTCTCCTGCCCCCATTCTGACAGCCCCTCATCGCTTTCTGTCTGGACAGATTTGTCTCACATGATCACTGCACATAGGTACAGGTACGCTCCCTTCTGTGTCTGCTTCCCTTCACAGCATCGCACTGCTAAGGTTCACTCATGGTGCGGTGTGGGCCTTCCCTTCTTTCCCGAGACGAGCACTTAATAATAAGTTTGCTTTTAAAAGTATTTTGTTTATTATTAATGTGTACATAGTGTGTGTGTGTGTGTGTGTGTGTGTGTGTGTGTGTGTGTACATGTGGCGGCCAGAAGATGACACCAGGTATCTTTCTCAATTGAGCTTGACCTTTTATTAAAATTTATTTTTATCATTTTTAATTATGTATATGTGTGTGTATGCTTATGAGTGCAGGTGCCCAAGGAAAGCCAGAGGTGTCAGCTCCCTTAGAGCTGGAATAACAGACAATTTCGGTTGTTTATTTGATTTTGTTTGTTTTGTTTTTGAGACAGTGTCTCCCTGTAACCCCAGCTGACCTAGAACTTAATATGTATACCAGACTGACCTCAAACTCACAGAGATCTGCCTTAAAGGTGTAATTTACCACACCCAGCTGGTCATAGGCAGTTTTATGCAGACCAACATGGGTGGTAGGAATTAAGCTCAGTTCCTCTGCAAGAGCAGTGCATGTTCCTAACTACTGAGACATCGCTTCAGCCCCAGTTATCCACTTTATTTTTAAATATTTTATTTATTATTTTTATTTTATGTGTATGCATGTATTGCCTGCATGTAGGTAAGTGCACCCATGTCATGCAATGCCCAAGGAGGACAGAAGAAGCGGTCAGATCCCCTGGAACTGGAGTTACAGACAGTTGTTAGCTGCCATGTGGGTGCTGGAACCCAAGTCTTCTGCAAGAACAGCCAGAGTTCTTAACCGCTGAGCCATCTCTCCAGCCCCCCACTCTATTTCTTTTAAAGACATTTATTTCTGGTGCATGTGTGTGCAAGCCAGCATGAGCTTCAGGTCCCTCCTCTACCCTGTACCCTCTGGGCCATCTCTCCAGCCCTCCACCTTATATTGAGAAGGACTCTCTTACTGAAACTGGAGCTCACCAATTTGGCTAGACCAGCTGGCCAGCAAACCCCAGGGATCCTCCGGTCTCCACTTCCCCAGTGCTGGGAGTGCAGATGTGTGCCCCTGTGGGGCTCTACTGTGGTTCTGGGATAGCACTTGGGTCCTCACATTTCTGTAGCATGTACTTTTTCTTAATCTCCGCTCTCCCTCCCCCAGCCCCTGGCAACTGTGATCTTGTTTCTGCCTCTGGATTTGCTTGTTCTGGACATTTCACATGAATGGAAGCTTCTAGATTGTCACTGCCTTGCCTCTCACTGTGCATTGTGCTTTCTGAGCTCACCCATGTTGTAACGTGCTCTCACAGGCACACCCAACCTTTGGACATTGTAGTATGAGTCTGTAGTCTGTGAAGGCCACGATCAGGAGCCTCACAATTAGGTTTTAAAAAAATCGCACGCGCACGCGCGCGCGCACACACACACACACACACACACACACACATTTTGCAGTGCTTTAAGCAAGTTTACAATTTTTAAAGATTTCATTTTAATTTTACATTTATTTGTTTAGTGTGTGGTGGGGGCTGGGCATGTGGAGGTCAGGGAGGGCAAAGGAGAACTTTCAGGACTCAGTTCTCTTCTTTCATCATATAAGGGCTCAGAGACTGAACTCAGGTTGTCAGGTTTGGTAACAAGGGCCTTTACCTGCCGAACCATTTCACTGGCCCTAAATGGTGTGTGTGTGTCTGTGTGTGTGTGTGTGTGTGTGTGTGTGTGTGTGTGTATGTGTGTGTGGACAACTTTTGGAGTCAGATATGATTTTATTGGGCTGTATTCATAGCTATTCTTGGTCACATGCAGCCATTGACCATGTGTTGGACATGGCTAGTATTCTCCACCCTTTTTTTGCCATTTATAATGGAAGCATCACATTTATTGATATCTTAGGACAGCCAGTTATACACTCACTCACACACGCACACACGCACACACTCACAGAATCCTGAGACAATGAGATTGCAGCACATGCACTAATCCTACTCACCTTCATCATCTCCTTCAGCATCACCTGCTCCAGCTTCTTCATAATTCTTCTCTAGGGTGGTCATGTCCTTCCTCATGGGCCTCAGAGAAGTCCCCTTCCTCCCCTTCCTCCATGCCCTCACCCACGTACCAGTGCACAAGGGCATGCATGGCATGTATCAGGTCAAACTTGTGGTCTAGGTGGACCCAGACCTCAGTGATGGCTGTCGTGTTGTTCAACTTGCTGTATGCTGACCAGGTCTCCACCAGGTACCAGGCCAGTAATTAATGCCAACATTGAAGCCACTTGGGGTACCAATCCACAAACCGGATGCTGTGCTTGCTACTGATGGTGGCAATAGGATTGCCATCTTAAGGAATCACATCACCATGGTACAACAGGCAGCTTTCTCAGCAGAGATGACAGGGGCACATGTGGCCAGAGGGAAGTGGATGTGGGGTGTGGGGCGCCAGGATGGTCTGGAGTTCTGTCAGATCAGCATTCAGGGCTCCATCGAATCTCAGGGAAGTGTGATGGGAGGCACAGCCTAGTAAATAAGGCAGTTAAGGTTAGTGTAGGTTGAGCATGTTTCTATGACAGATGCCACAGATAACCTCATTCTCTACCATGAAGGCACAATCGGAGTGCTCCAGGGTGGTGAGAGACGAAGATGTAATCATGGGCTCAAACAACAGCAGTGGAATAATGAGGACGTGGGTAGATGGAGAACTCCAGCTTGGACTTCTTTCCACAGCCAACAGAGTGCTGCTCCATCAGCAGGCAGGTAAAGCCAGAGCCAGTTCCCCTAACAAAGCTGTGGAAAACCAGGAAGCCTGAGACCTGGTCAGCCAACTTGCGAATTCCATCCAAGACAAGGTCAATGACTCCTTGCCAATGGTGTAGCACCATGGGCATAGTTACTGGCACATCTTCCTTGCCTGTGATGAGCTGCTCAGGATGGAAGAGCTGGTGGTAGGTACCAGTGCGAACTTCATCAATGACTGTGGGTCCCAGGTCTACAAACGCTACCCTGGGCACATGCTTGCCAGCACCTGTCTCACCAGAGAAGGTGTGGAAGGAGTCGTCTCCTCCCCGCGTGGTCTCGTCACTTGGCATCTGGCCATCAGGCTGGATGCCGTGTTCCAGGCAGTAGTGTTCCCAGCATGCATTGCTGTTCTGGACACCAGCCTGGCCAATGTGGATGGAGACGCACTCACACGAATCTAGTCCTCGAAGAGGTCCAAAGCAATTGATGAAGCGAAGGGAGGGTAATGAAGATCTCCCATGGACAGACCACCAAAGAGTCCCAGAGACGTGCCCTGCTTCCCATTCAAGCCTCTGTAACACCCTATGTGGATGGACACTCTTTTTCTCTGTTTCCTGGGGGAGGAGCAGCTTCTCTTTACCCTCACCCATCCCAGGACTGGCTCATAGGAGGCTCCGTACTTGGCCCCAACTCCAAGTTCTGGGGCTGATCCTTACCCCACCTCCCACCATTTCCTACAAATCTCTCAGAGCCCTGGGGAGTGGCCCTGCCAGACAGAGGAGGGGTGGGGCCAGGAGCCAGGCAGGACATGGTGTCTCTGGGTGACTCAGAGGCTGGAACGACG